TTTATTGTGAAAAGTTAGTTTGTAAAATATGAAACAGTTATTATTAACTTGTAATGTTAAATATCACTAAAAACTACAACAAAAAACTAAAATCTTCTTTTTATTTGTGTCCCAGTGATCGGGTCAAATCATATTTAAACTCTAAGAACACGCCCCTAACGTAACGTCCTGAAAACGTTTATGAATTTTTTTTTTTTTTTTTTCATATTTATTAGAATCAAAATTTATCGACAAATTTTAAATATCATTCCAAAAAAATATGCCGTTTAAAAGTTGTGATCTTTTAAAGTTATTTTTTGGAGTTAATTGGGGAATAAAAAACTAAAAACATTAATAAATTTTTAAAGAGAACAGGTTTTTGTATGAAAATTTAATTCTGTCGATTAATTTTAATTTAGTTAAAGATATTATGAAAAAAAAAAAATTTTTTTCTAATGAAACCATACATGGGACACAAGGACCCAAATTTTAGGTTTAATATTGTTTCCAGTCTCCGAACGTCGCAATTTTTTCTAAAACATTCTTATTTTGCATTAGTATGATTATTACAAAATTTTATGAAAGCACCATTTCTGGAAGTTATCTATCTTAAACACTAAAAATTCTGGACCAGCTTGTTTAACCCCCTTTATTTTTTTAGATATCGACAGATATCTAAAAAAATAAAGGGGGTTAAACAAGCTGGTCCAGAACAAGGTACGGTGCTTTCAAAAATGTAATCCGTTTCTGGTGTACTTTTTTTTTCGTAAGAAATATTTCCACTAGGGTGTGTAAACAATTTCGAACAGATTATAAAAAAAGTGCAAGATATAGATGTAATGGCACAGTAATAAATATAGATGTTATAGTACAGTTCACTTTTACCCCATAGTAAATTTTTGTTAATGGATTAAAAAAAAAATTTCTGATAAGGATAATATTTTTCACTTTCAAAAAAAATTATTAAACCATCAACAAAAATTTATTACGGGGGTAAATGCAGTTTTTTTTAGTTTCCCAAAAGTTTACATTGACTTCCGCCCTTTTAACATTCACCAAAGCATTATATTATAAAGTTATTCAGTAACGAATATTTAAAAATTGTAAACTTTCTTACAAAAAAAACATCAATATTATTATATATTATTGCTATTTTAAATAGCGGTTATATCTAGTTTTAACAATTTGTTAAAATACAAGTTATGATAAATATATTGTTTAGTATTAGTATTGTTTAGTAGTTTAGTAAGTCTTATTTTAAACATGTTTTTTTGAGAATAAAAAGTCATTGCATTGCTTATATATATATATATATATATATATATATATATATATATATATATATATATATATATATATATATATATATATATATATATATATATATATATATATATATATATATATATATATATATATATATATATATATATATATATATATATATATATATATATATATATATATATATATATATATATATATATATATATTGTTAAAACAGAAAAATCTTACATAAATAATGAAATCTTACATAAAATCAAATCTACCGTGTACTTTTATAACTGTTCTTGAAATCAAACAATTGCATTAGTAACCATATTATTAACATACGATTATGAAAAAAAAATTGTTAAACTACACATTAATTATTACTTGATTTGAAAGGGAAGATGGCTTTTTTGGACTCAAGAGTTCATCAACACTGTTGGTGGCGTAGGCCTTTTTCAACAGAATTTTTACAACCATTTTTGGAATAAAATTATGAATATCCAATTATGAACAAGGTAATACAGCTATTATGTTAGAGTTATTAGATGCTAACTTTATCAAGCTTTAATCTTTTATTTGAACTGGTAGATAGACTGACAAAAAAAAAATGTAATAAATAAAAATAGTTATCCTACCATGTAGTAATTTGCACTAGTACCAGACTGATTAGGACACTCACAGGCTAAAATATTTAAAATCATTCAGCTGGAAACCAGTTATCCGTTATCTAGTTCAAAAAAATATTCTGTCGGCTTGCAAATAATAAACAATAAAAAAAAAATTTTATTGAGGGTCGCAGGTGTTCCTTTTGACTATGTGTATAGGTAAAATGTACCTAGTGGTTCTACACTTTTTTTTATTTGACCTGTTTTTTTTTTGCAATTCTCAAAATCTTTTTTTATTTTATTTTAGTTGCTTAGATGCTCCAAGAAGTTCATACTGTCTTATCACAGAGCATCGCGGAATACCATTTAACCAGCAAGTTTACGCTTCTTTCCTTACCAATGTTGTATATAATATATAGACCATAACTCGAAGTGGGCTCTGGCCATATATGAAATATTGCCAGAGCCCACTTCTAATTATGGTTCTACAGTTCTGAAGCCAGAACTCAAATCACTACACTGCTGCTGCAATTTTATGGTATGTGTGTCACAACGCCTTTACTAGTGAATAATTGCAAACAATTAACTTTTAGTTCGACTAAAACTTGTCAACAAAATTTTAGTTTGACATTTGTCTAAAAAACTTATTAGTTCGATTAAAATTAACTTTTGCAGATACATTACAGCTCATAAAAATTTAAAATAGGAATTGAAACTTGTGAAACTCCACACTAAAGTTTAACGTGCCAGGATCCGGATTGACTACATACTGTTTTCGGTAAGGTAATTTATTTTGCAGGGCCTATTTGAAAATCTATTCAAACTTTATGTAAAAATAAAACAATGTACATTAAAAAAAAAAAAAAAAAATGGTGAGGGGAGGGGAGGAAACAGACCCTCCGCCCCCCCACTACTAGCCCTTCTATAAAGGGTTCTTAAATTAGAAATTACTTATAAAATTAAATTTTGGCTTAAATTAATCATTATAAACAAAAATTGGATAAAATATATTACGGAATTTTCCAGGTTCAAATTAATGTACTTTTTAAAAAACCATAGTTTCCAACCAATTCCAAACTAATAATAGGTCTTTTAGAGTTCATATAAAAAAAAATTAATGTTCAAAGTCCCCGCTTTTCGGTTAAAAAATGGGGGTTTTGGGGTACAAATTGTAAAAGCAGGGACCTTAAAAATAGGTTTGAAAATATTTTGTTCTGCGCGAAATCATTTTTACCTAACCGGCACCCTTATATATACATTATATGTATATCAGGGTGCGTATACTAGGGTTATATACAAAATATATACATTAACACATATAATTTTTAATATGTTTATATAAGCCTAAACGTGAGAGCTTTCTTATGTATTTACTCCTCTGCTCACAAACAATTCTAGAAACATTGGTATACCTGCAAGTCATTCTGAAGCACCGGTTAGGATGAAACAAATAAGTTTATCTTTATAAACGCATTATAACATAATGCGTTATTACCTTGTAAATTGGGTGTTAAATAAATAAAATAATAAAATAATAATAAATTGATGTTTATTATAACATTTTTATCAGACGTTAAGTTCTTGAGAAAAAAAAGGTTGATGTGCCTTAATTATTGAATGTTTTTTTATCGGCAATATGAAATTAAATAAGTAAAATTAAATGAGTTTTTGTCTTTGCCTTTTCGTTATACGGTTTTTGTTTTCGTAAAGTTTGTCATCATTTGCGCTGATATTGCTAATTATTTTTATTGTTGTTATTGAGTGTTTTCATATTTTTTGGTCTTATCAACTTATTACGCTTATTCGTTATTATTATTTTCTTAAATTAACTTTGCACTTGCTTTTATTTATTAATATTGCTATTGATTTTTTTGTTTATTTTATTAAAGTGTCACTCTATTGACTAGTTTTAAACTGAATGAGTGACATCTAACCTAAATTTGTAATTTTTAGTTGAATAAACGGATAAAAAAGCACCTTAGTGTTAAAATCTATGCCTATTTTGATAAAACAAATATAATTTGTTTTAATTTTTACTTTAAAGGGAAAATTAATATTCCGTTTAAACTGACAAATATTTGTCATTCTACTTTTCAAAGATAAGAAACTGACTGTATGAAAATCTACTTTGGCGCACGTCTATAATAGTGAGTGATTATTTTGATCAAAATGTGTCTAAGTTTAAGATTCTTTATACGAAATAATTTTTATTCTCCAATTGAACATCTGGAGTGTATTCCCCAGTAAGGTAAAATAAAGCATTTCATTTTTTAAAATTGTTATTAACACTTTAAAAAAAGTTTGAACATTTTAAATGGCTTTTCCTCTAGTAAGAACTTATTAATAAATTTCAAATTTTATCAAAATAACTTTTTTGCGCTCAACAGTACGACCATATAGAGTTTAGAACCCTTTATTTATTGAACGCTTAACAAATTAAGAAACAAGGACAAAAAAGAAAAAAAAATTGCGATTTTATATGCTTACAACGGGTTTTGTTTCGTATCAACTTACTGAAAGAGTGGTTAGAAAAACCTAAAGTAAAAATAACTGGAAAAATAAAAAAAGCAGTGTCATTATTTTCATCATTCACAGGAAAAGTCCAGACTTCAGAATAATATGGTTCGCAAACGATTGCCCTTTTCTAAGGGATAATGTACTTTTGCATAAAAGCACCTTAAATACCAAAAAAAGTACAGGCCCGTAACAACCGGGTGGGCAGCAGGTGCATTTGCCCCTCCAATAATTTTTCAAATAAATAATTTAGAAGAAATTGACTGAAAAAATGACTTGAAAAAAAAAGAAGCTTTTTAAAACTATTTCGGGGTAGTACTCCCCCCCCCCCCCAATATAATTTTCGTTCCTACGGCAGTGAAGTATCTCATTTTTTAATAAATTTAGAAAGTGATTTTAGGAACTTAACAGTTATGGTGCAAAAACAAACGGAAAATAAAAAATCAGGAAATTAGTTTAAAGAAATAATTAAAACGCTAACTAAACAGATCGAAAATTTTAGCAAAAAGACCTTCATTTGTTTAAATAATAAAGTGCCATATGCTAAAAATATAAAAAGAATATTGTTCAAACTTTTGCAAAAAAAAAAAAAAAAAAAAAAAAAAAAAAAAAAAAAACCCTGCAGCAGAGTTATAAATCAGAATCTTATTTATTAATTTAAAACAACTTAAAATAACGCAAACACAAAACTTCATTTTAGTATCCATTTATTGAAACATCCTCTAGATTGGGCATAACTCGATGCTAGATAATTGACGCACATTTCAACAAAGTTTGTTTGATTTAAGCTATCACTCTTAAAGCTAGTTTTTTGGTGCTGTAAAAAAATAAATATATAAACTCAATTTAAAGAATAATAGGTAAACATGACAATGTTTTTGAATTTAAAAACTGACCTCCAAACGCATCTGGCATTCTTTCAATAGTAAACCTTAAAATTAGGAATTAATTTTAAATTTTATGAATAAAGCAACAATAATAAACGTTGACAAATACGTATTAAAAGTCATTATATAAAAAAAATGTCTTTCATTCCGCCTTTATATTGGTTATCAAATTATAACGACATACTAAAATTATGGTTACCAGATATGAAACATACCTATGTTGTGAAAGATACATAATTGGAACGCCAGGAACTTTTCGTATTCTACGTTTAAGATCTCTATCACATGTTGCCACTATGTAACATTTATGCTAAAGAATTCATTTTAATCAATAAAATATGTATCCATTTTACCATGTAAATGAAACAATAAAAAAAAGGATACTAAGAAATAGTGGGCAATAACTTTACAGAAAATTTGCCTAATGTAAATTATTTTAAAAATTTTAATTTCCGAAACAAGCATTTTTAGACCTGCTCTTTAACCTCTATTCTTAATTAAACCAAAGCCTGTCGATTTGCGCAAAGTGTTAACTTATTTGCGGACTGCGGGATACCCGGGTAAAATAACATTTACAAAAATGATGTCAGTGATCAAATACTTTCAAACTATTTTGTGTATTACTTATGGAATTTATTTTTATTTTTTTAAGATTTTAAAGCTAGCTGTTTTATTAAAAAAAATAAAAAGCAACATTGAAACCTTATAAAAAAATATAAAGCAACTTTGAAACCTTTTAAAAAAATATAAAGCAACTTATAAGTCAAAAGTACAATATAAGTCAAAAGCACAATATAAATTAATTTAAGTCAAAAGTACAAACTTTTATAATTTGAGATAATCTAAAATATAAGTTTTCAATATCAAGTCTCTTTTAAATAAATTTAAAAAAAAAAAGCTTTAAAAAAAATTTAAACTGTTTTGTTACTTGAAATCTAAACTGTGCTTATCAGCTACTGTAGTATCAACCAATTCATGACCAAGCACACCTCACACTGCTGACACAGACAAACTCATTTTATTAAAAAGCTTGCAGAATCTGCATGCGCTTGTCCAATAGCTTATTTTTCAAAAGAAGTCACACAGCAAATCTATTCAAATGATTATTTTTTTTTGTCAGCAAAATTAAACAATATTAGCATTTTAGCTGGGGCTTTTTGTTTAAACCTTTAAATAATGAACTTATATTCATTACCACACTAAAATAGTTTATATAAAAAGAATTGCAAATAGACTTAGTACTGACAAATTAAGACAATTGACAAGCTGCCTAAAACTGCCTAAAAATTGACTTGTCATTCCACCATCCTTTTCTCCAAACTAAAAAAAGTTTCTAAACAATCTTCGTTAAATCAATGAGAAAACATAATGAAATCTTTCCAAAAAAAGCTACTGGCATAACAGAATACTGCTTAATGTAACGTAATAACTAGCTATATTAGATTGCTATATGGGACTTTACATCACAACTAGCTATATGGGACTTTACATCACAAAGCATCTGTTTACTTGATCCCACTTAAAAACTTAGTAACATTATTAACCTTGCTGTTATAGCACGGCATGCAGGTTTATATGAAGTGTTTTTGAATTCATCAGGTCAAAGAGTATAAATTTTTATCAACAAATCGAAGAGTCAGTATTCATTTGACAGTTATACATTGACTGTGACACACAAGAACAATGCTGTGGCAATCTAATGGCTGAAAAATATGATGCCGTGAAACTATAATACTATTAATACTACAAATATATTGCATCAGATTATTGCAAACATTTTAAACCAGGATTAAAGATAATATAAATTATATTTTTAAAAGACGACTAGCAAATATGACTTCTATTTTAAAAAAACTAATGATTTTAAGTGCTGCCAGCACCTAACATTCAACTTTCTACACCAACCTAACATTCAACAGTTTTAAACTCTTAATATAGCTTTATAAATAAATTAGCATGAACTGTTGAAACAGTTGCGTTATTGAATAAATTGCAACTAAACGGAAACAACCAAGATATTGGTTGTTTCCGTTTAGTTGCAATACCTCTCATAATAAAAACTAGAGCCTGATTCTTTGGTTTCCTGTTCATTATTCTAAAAGCAACATCTACAACTTTACTTTAATATAAATGTTGCTAAAGGGTCATCTCATCAAATCATCAACAATTTTTTTTTTGTGATGATAACTCATTTCTATCAAAACTTGCATTGATCATTTGGTAAAAAAACTTCTAGATTAAGCTAAAATATATTACTTAAGATCCTACATATTTGACACTTTTCTTTTGCAATATTTATATTTTTTTCTTTTCTGTTTATTCTTACAACTAATGAAGTCAAACAATAAATTTAGGATATTTCTCTATTTGTTACGTCTACACTTCCTTGAATTGTTTTTGGCATTTTTAATTTGCATTTTTTTAGTTTTAGAAAGCAAACGATTTTTTAAGTTAAATAGTACATTGAACCTGCTACACAAAAGATAGCAAACAATTTTCAAAATATTAACTAGATTTTCTTTAAGATCTCATCTTCCACAATTTATTTCTTGCACTTGTAGAAATGTCAATGCTCTCAAAAGAATGTCAAAGCTGAACTTTTGTTGTAACATTGATTGTAAACAACTGAGTTGTACTTCAGAATTGTACCGTGTTAAATGTAGATATGCAATATGTTTAATGTAAAATTTATTTTTAATACAAATCCGATAAGAATTATCACTAAATAAATAGACAGAAAACTATAATATAAAGATTAATTAGGGACAAAAGTAGTATATATTTGTCTTTCGGAAAGTAAAAAAATAAAAATATTTTATCAGTTATTCTATATTAAATTGAATTTACACAGTAAATATTTGCATAGTATGACAGCATTTCTGAATATTTAAGAGTATTATTTATTAGAGAAAAAAATCATGCAGAATATAAGAGAAATTAAACTTTTCTATTTATGCAATAATAAAAAGTAGCATAGATTTGTTATGTAATAAACCCTCATGAAGCAATAGTTGTATAAAATATATTATATTTGTTTGAAAACAAAATTGATTAATACCCCTTAATAAAATTTTTGGTTTTAGATTAGCCATAAAAAAAAAAAAAAAAAAAGGAGAGAAGATGTCTTCTACAAATTTCCCTTTTTTTTTCTACACATTTTTGCCACACACTATGACAGAATGCATCATTAGTTGGTAGTAAAAATATTACCATGACATTTTCATATTTAAAATATATCACCTGTGTAATTCTATTTATTATGCAGTCATCTGCGTATGTTCCCGCATGCATGCATGGTAACCTTTCAAAACGTTCATCTTTAGCAACTCTGATAAAAAAAAGCTTTATTTACAAATATTGATAAAGTTTATTATTAAAAAAAGGTTTAAAAAAACAAACAAAAAACCTTAATGCAACTCTATAATGTGAACCAAGTTTCTCTAACTCTCCCATTACACAGTCTGTAATATATGGAATACCTATTTTTTAAAAATATTAGTATTAAAGACACAGTCTGAAATATATGGAATACCTATTTTTTTAAAATAATAGTATTAAAGACAATCTGTAATATATGGAATACCTATTTTTTTAAAAACAAATAGTTACAATAAACTTAAAAACACTTCCTGAATTTATGTCTATTACAAAACTATTTTTATAAATAAAAATTATAAACAAAACTAAAGAAAAATTAGAGGAATAGAAATATAAAAGATAAGCAAGAATAATGTTAAAATGAACATAACTCTTATTACTGTCTTACATGTTAATGTAATTTACACTTTTATATATTAATTTTTATATTAATATTTTATATAATTTATATAACAATTATTTGTTAATTTTAATTATCTTATTACATAGAATGTAAATTGTAACTACATACAATTGTAAAATATTTATACGCTAAAGAGTTAGAGTACTGATGCACTTTTTATTGAGTATGCCACTTTGAATACTCAGGGTATTCATAAGTCTGAATTTAATAGTATAACTATTTAGGATATACCTTTTTTTATCAGGAACCTCAGAAGGACAGCTCAAATAATAGGTAGTATTTTTATCAACTTATTTTAGATAATTTTTAATTTCTGCATAAAAACTTTATTTTTCCTGCTTTTTCATGATGGGAAATCAAGTTTAATCCTCAACATGTTCATGGTAGTTTTTAAAAATACCATATTATTTATTTGTCGATATCAGTGTTTTGCTCGTCAATACCAGTGTTTTGTTTGTCAATATCAGTGTTTTGTTGATACAAGTGATTTTTTTGTCATTATCAGTGTTTTGTTTGTCAATATCATTGTTTTATTTGTCAATATCAGTGTTTTAAAGTTGAGAGTTTTTTTTAATTATTCACCTCCTCAAGGCCAACAAGGCCACTACATTCAAGGAAACTACCTTTTGTAGTTACAACCTTCTCTCATCTCTATAAATCCAAAACACAAACCTTGACAAACAAGGCTACTTTGCGGAGAAACAAGTTGAGTGTGGTACTACCAGGAACGTGATGGGAATCAAACTCAGAACTTCTCGCTTATGAGGCGAGCGCTCTACCACTACCGCATTAAAGTTGTAACAACAATTAACCAAAAAATAGAAAAAAAGTTGAGAAGTCTTCTTATTTAGTTCTCCCTGACTTGGCTTTGGTGAGGATTGGTTGAAATAATAATAATAATAATAATAATAATAATAATAAAAAATTAAAAGGAAGTATAGAAGACAGTTTTTTTTTATTTTCCTTCTAAAAGTTTATAGTAAATATTCAAAATTAAATAAAAACAGAATTAGAGTACATTTTGATCTTTTAGAGAATAAATAAGAAAAGGAAAATCTTTTTAATTTTTAAATGAAACAAACAGTTTACATAATTTACAAAATTCTTTGAATGTAAATAAGAATGTACATATAACAAGAATGTTTATACCTCAACTAAGTATCTACAATGTTAATGTTTTAAAATCTATAAGAAGGAATTAGTTTTAAAGTATTAGTGGGGTGGGAGATTCCTGCAATTAAAAAAATATATAAAAAGTTCATAAATCTTGATTAAAACTTTGTAAAATTGGTTAAAACAATGTAAAAAAAACTTACATTTTGCATAAAGGCAATCTATCATTGATTGAAATATATCAAGTTTATTTTGAATAGAAAAATTTATAAAATTTGTATCAACAATGACTCGATATGGTGGACCAAGTTGCGTATTGTACTGAAAAAAAAGTGCAGACGATACCTGCTCACTAAATAAAATAAATGTTAATACTAAAATAACAAACAAATAATAACAAATTTTAAATCAAAAACTATAAACTAACACATGTCGAACTTGATTTTCTTCTTCTTTTTTTTTAATTTCTTCTTTTTTCTTCAGATTGGCTTTTCTAATTAAAAAATTAATTTTAAATGATATATTATTAGACTTTATTGACATTTATCAAAGGTAAGATTACTATTAGCATCAATGCAACGAAATATCCTTAGTAATTGAGAGTCTTTATTTGATTAAAGAAATTATGACCGTGGAAAGCATTATGCCCAAAAAAGAAAAAAAAAAGAAAATTGATTGCAAAATTAAAACAAGAGTGAAAAACATATAAATTTATTCAAAAGACATTGTTCTTTTTTGATGATTAGAAATGCATTAAAATGAAGTTGTTTGTTGTTTAGCATTTTCAATAAATATATTGTTATTCAAATTGCTAAACATGTTAATAAACAGCTTAATAATATTCATTCATTGCAATGACTTCACAAATATTCATTCATTGCAATGACTTCACAAATATTAGCAAAAGAGGCTTTTTAAAAAGATTTAATAAAAAAAGTTTAATGAATTTTTTTTAAAAAAAAGTTTTTTTAATTCACAACAGAATCAAATAATAAAATAAGAATTAAATAAAAACTTTAATCTAGTATACAAAAGGCAACCATTAAATTCACCAAATGAAACTAAAGATGTGTAAAAATAAAGATTTAGCTCAGGTCATATAAAATACACATCAATGAGGTGAATTAAAAGTAGCTTAGATAAACAATAAAAACATTTTAAACATTTTTTCTAAATATTTTAGTCAAAAATATTTTATATCTTATGAACGTTTATTATTTTTGAAATAGGTTGTTTGTAAATGCTAATTTTTCAAAACTAAGATTTTTTTAACCTGTTAACCTTGATGTACAAAAACTCATTTTGGGAGGTCAAAGCAACAATTTTGATCATTTCAGGCAGTCATTGACCAGTGACTGCCTGTTATTTTGTGTGCTGTATATATATATATATATATATATATATATATATATATATATATATATATATATATATATATATATATATATATATATATATATATATATATATATATATATATATATATATATATATACACACACACATATATATTAATAAACATAATATAAATGCTTTTGCATTAGTGTGTATTTGAATCCAGTGAAACTTTTTAATAGATTAAAAAGTGTTTAATTTGTAAAAATTCAATAATTACATGCGTGTATCTTTTGAGCTGATCATTCTTTTAACAGTTGCGAACTTTCTAGTTTTTTTTGCTTTGCCCTAAAAATAAAAGAATACAACAACTTTTTTAAAAAAAATTTGTTACAAATTACTGATTACATTTTTTTAAATTTTATTAGAAATTAATGATCAACAAACTTCAGATTAACAATTTTAATAATTAATGCCGAAATAAAGTAGCCGGCAATTTTTTAAAAAAGATTTTGTAATAAGCACTTTAGGATTTCGATCGAACAAAAAGGAAAAGTTTGTTAGAAAGAAATACCTTTAGAATTTAAACTGATTGAAAGTTTTTAAAGATCTAGTAATACAAAGGTTCCTACAAATATGATGCAAGGAGTTTGAGGACATTAAAAAAAAACAAAAACCATGTCATTATATTTACATTATTTTAAAAATAAAAGATAACTAAAACTTATCATATTTACATTATTTTATAAATTATAACTAAAAATTATGTTAACAAAAGTCATATTATTATATTTACAATTTAAAAAATTTTACTTACCATTTTAAATTATTTTTTTTTTTAATCTAAAAGTAAAATAGAAATAATCAAGAACCTCATAGACCAAAAATAAATAATAAAACAAGTCAAATGGTTTATCAAATGGTTTTAAATTGTGCTTAAAACTAGACATTTTTAATTTATTCATTTTAAGATAATTGCAGACACATCAAAATCAACTATATACTATGGTTTGTTGTGAAAAATACATAAAAAACTTAATATAATTTTATTTAAATTATTAAATATATAAATGATTTTAAATATTGTTCCCCCTCTCCGCCTCACATATTTGTTGCTTTTATCTCATTAAAAAATTGCAAATAATTATTTTGTTCTCAGTCTAAAACATGGTTTGAAGCATTTAAAACAATTTGCAGGGAATTGAGGAAATATATTTAGAAAAATAACAACTTTTAATATAACTTTATTCAATATTACTTAAATTAAATTATAAATGAATGACCTTACACAACAACTATATTAAATATATTATGACTTGAATTAATCATATATGCAATAAATAAACTTTTTTAAATTTTAATTTTGCAACATTTTTATTATTATAGAATATGGGTAGGCATATACACAGGGTTTAGTGGGTTTAAGGAATAAACAGTTTCCTGATAAATATTGCATCTAATATTAACTTTTAAATACTGCATTAAACTGTAAACTTCATCACATGATACATCATATCTACATCATGCAGCAAAAATCATCTGAGATAAAACAATAAACCCAATTTCAGAACATCATTTACTTTGTAATAAACTACTGATGGATCCAATATTAACTGAATTTTGTCCCAATGAATTTAGTTCCTACAACAAAATAGTAACTTTCTGAAAAACCTCAGAGGAACTTATGTCAGAGTATTAATACTACTTATTGTTTCAGTTAGACTTACTAGCTCAGATTTGTCTGTTGTCTTCCATTGTTTTTAATACAAGAACCATCATCTCATCAAAACCATCTTGAGAATACAACTTATTTTCGAGTATCTTATATTTTCAAGTAGTTTCTATTATCATGAAAATATTGATAGTTCTACTACAAACATATCAATAAGTTCATGATTATCTTTTAATAGTTTAACTGCACTAACTTAACATTTTTATGATACACGATGACTGATGATACACATCTGAATAAGGGGAAAGATGAAAGCCATCTGCACCCATATAATTAGTAACATTAAACTCTTCTTCTAACTTGTTAGCAGTTTAATTATCTGATTGTCATTAGAATATAAAATTATTTCTGTTATTTTCCTGTAAGTATATCAATGAAAGTCAAATTTAACTTCTTTATATAATTTATTGTGGGAATCTTCTTTGATCTATTGTGGGAATCTTCTTTCATCTATTTTGGAAACTTTCATGATTTGAGTGAACAAAATCTATATTTAAAGTTCTTGCGATTCTTAATTTTATTGTTTGTTGAACTTGTAATAATTTTATTTTACCAAGTCAGTTCTCCTAGTCCATTATCTTTAATGACTTTTCTTCAGGAATAACATTAATACCAATGTTTTTTAGTTCTGCAGCAAGTTGAGCACTAATATTCTTATATCCTCCTAAAAACATAAATGATAATTAAAATTTCAAATAACAAAAGCATATTTTTATAAAAATCTCTCTACTTAAGAATAGAAAAATATTTTAAAAATAGTTAAATAGTAATACCTTTTCTTCTTTTTCCATTCTGTGAATTAAATGGATCACAAGAAGTTATGTCGATTTAAGTATTTAAGTATTCATGATGTAGGCAAATTGTTTTTTTTTCCATCCATTTCAATCCCAGAACAATAAACTATCATGTGTTTTTCTTCATCATTAAGACTTTGTTTTTTACATGTTTGTCACAAATTTTTTAATTTATTAAACCAATTGAACACCTTTATTATTCTATTTTGATTTTGTTTTTTTTCTGAAAAAATAGCAAAAAATTTAAAAATAACCTTTGTATAAAATAAAAATGTATAATCTTTAAGGTGAAATGTATACATATTTATATAAATAGAACTTTACCTGAGACTGTAATTGTAAAAATCTTAAAAAAAAATGAAAAAAAAAAAAAAGCTATTCAATATATACTTTTATTATTACTTATTATTTTGCTATATATACACATATACATGTATTTAAACTTGAAAAAAAAGAGCATGGAGACTCTGAGAAGATGAATCAGGTTAAGTCATTAAGAACTGCCCATAAACAAAAAAAAACATAAAATTCACAATCATATTTTATATAAAATTTTAACACATACATATGCTTAAATACATAAAATAATACAGCATATTATTAAACATTGAAAATATAGAAATATATTACCAAAAGATAAATTGATACCATTAGCCTTCTTAAATAAGAGGTAAACTCTTATTCAAGAAGTTTAATGAAATTATTCCTGAGAAAAACATTTTAAAACAAAATATTGTTTAAATTGTTTTGTTGTTGTTAAATGCAAATAAATCATAAAAGAGTTTGTTGCATATTATGTAACATACTATGTTACAAAAACTTTAAGAATCATACCTTTTTGGCATATCAAAAATACTTCTCTTTGTATAGGGTATCAGAAAACTTAATACATTTGTTTCATAACTTTAATATTTAAATTCTAATATGTTTTAAACTTAATTTTTGAGTTATTCACCATTAAGAATAGCTGGCACATAAAGATTACATAAGTTAAAGCTAATTTTATGGCACTAAAGATTTAGCCTAAAATATCAACACAGCTGAAAAAAACAGTCAAAAAAAAGGTTAAAACAGTATTGACTGTGAAACCATAAAAATCAGACGGTAAAATTTGGAGTAAAGTTTATTTCATTAGTTTAAGGTTGCATACAAAAAATAAAAATTTTAAGAAGCTTGGTGTCAAAATTTTTTTGATAAGTCCTGTAATTAATCTACAAGAGAAAACTAAAACATATATTAAACTTTTTTCATAGCAAACCATTTTAATAAAATCAAAAACATCAAACCATTTAAACAAAATTTAAGACTATAAACCATTAGAGGTGGTTTGAGCCACTATTAGTTTGTCTTTACAATACAAACATACAAACACACAAAATACACCAAAAATAAAACCAAAAAGGGTACATTTACTTACACAAAGTACAATTACTTACACAAAGTAAATTTACTTACACAAAGTACAATTATTAACAAAAAAGTGATGGTTAAATTTTCATAGTTAAACTCAATGTTTACTAAATTATTAACACAAAACTAAATCTCAAAAACTAAATATCTTATATAGCAGAATTGCATTTCTTTTAAAGAAACATTTTTCTTAAAACGAGAAATATATTTCTTGTTTTAAGAAATAAATATCCATCTCAAAACAAGAAATATACTTCTTGTTTTGAGAAATAAATTGCAATTAAAAATAAATTAATTGCATCTCCGCAATTTATTTCTTAAAACCATAAATCCATTGTCAAGAAATTTATTTATTAAAACAAGAAGTATACTTCTTGTTTTATTAAATAAATTTCTTGACGATCTGGAAAAAATCCGGAATATGTTTTTCCCTTACTTTTCTTTTAATTTCGCATTTAGCTGACTTGTTTTTAATTTTTTCTCAAATTTTTCATAATTTTTCTGTAAGTGATGAGTGAAAAAGCTTAAAAAACAAATATATCACAAAAATATATACCTTAACTTGCATATATGGAAAATGTTTTAGATATCTAAAAAAAACTCAAAATCAAATTAAATTGAATTCCATAAAATCTGGAAAAAGATAGTACCTGATATATAGAAATTTATTTCTTGAAACAAGAAATCTGTTTCTTGTCTAAAGAAATAAATTTTTTATTATTATAGATAATAGAATTACAATTTTACTGTGCAGTAACTGTCACATTAAAATAAGTGTTTTTTTGAAAGGGTAACATTTACAGTAACCCTCACAGTTTCATGTAATTTGTGGAATAAACTATAAACTTTTTTTTGAGATATGACTGAGCCAGAGGACAGTAACTTTCGCATTAAACAACATTTATAAAGTTCAAAGTGCTAAAATGATTTTTCATTTTATTGTGTTTTGACTTTTCACAGCGGTATAGTAATACAGTCAGTCAATTGCAACAAATTATTGCTACAACAACAAAACTAATTTTATTATTAAATTAATTTATTAACTTTACTATTATTATTTAAATTAATAATATAAAAATAAAATCATTTTATATAATCACCATGATTATTTGCTGTAATTGTAATGCAGAATCTAGATAAAACTTTAGAACCTTAATGAAACTTTAACAACCTCGATAGATATTCAGAATCTTGATAGACCTTTATAATTAAATTATAATTACAATTTTCACAAGAAACAAATCTTTTAACTTTTGAAAAAACAAAATATTTTATCTTATGCAAAAACCAGCCTTTTTTAACATTTTTATATTTACAACAAAACATTGTTCATAATGCACATTTATTAAAAACAAATTTGAAAACAGAGCTTATTGGAAGTAAATTCACATTTTAGCAATCAAGAGGTTTTACAGTAATTTAATAACATAATATCTTCTTAATGGTTTTTATGAGCATCAAAGTGGTGGTAATACAAATTTAGTGAGTCTTGATAAAGTGTTTTATGATGAAAATGTTCCACCATAGAATTATATTACAGCTGTCATACATTAAAGACATTTTTTAATCAAACTATTTAACGCAACTCTGCAACACAGCATTTTTTCAGTAAAAAAGCATCTTGAATTTTAATTACAGTATTTAAGAATAGTAAACAATATCATAAGCAAAAATTTTTAAAACTCCATACTCGTGTGCTTGCATTTATTTGCATTGTCTTTATCTGTATCAAATAGATTGCTTTCATATTTATTTACCTTGCCTGTAACTATTAAAATAAAAAAATATAGATGAAACACCTTGTTTTACCACTATCCATTTAAAAGTATCTTCTATTTCTATAGTACATATAACAAGAACTAAAACCCTTTATTAGCTTAATAATACAAAATAATCAAAATTAAGAACAAAAAAAAATTATCATAGTTTGAGTTAATTGTATTATTCTTATTAAACAAGATTTCTAGAGAATTTTTCAAATTTTCATAATTTTTATGTTTTTTTTTTTTTTTTTTTTTTTTTTTTTTTTTTTTTTTTTTTTTTCATTTTTTCTAAACATTTTTTGTACAAAAAAATTATGGCTGATAGTAAGGTCAGTTATGTTTTGTTTACCAATCCAAAATAATGTTAATTTGTTAATAAAAATGAAAACAACAAACTTTTAGTTCAACTTTTTCAAAATTTTATTATTTTTTTATTGTTTATACTTGTAATTTTTACTACTTAAAAAATTTTTGAATGTAAAAAAAGAATTTAATATTTTGATTAATCAATAAATTTTTTTTAAAAAATCAAAAAATTTAAAAAATCAAAAAATTTAAAAAATTAAAAAATCAAAAAATTTAAAAAATCAAAAATTTTTTTTTAAAAAATCAAATTATATTTCAATTAATAAGAAATAAGATGCAAACTTAAAATGCTAAATTAAATGCTAACATATTTTAAGTGTAAAATATTAACTTTTTAAGATGGTATACCGTTAATTAATCTTTCATTAAATTCTATATCCTATAAATATATTATTTTGAATGAAATCCATGTTTTATTCATTTATATATATATATATATATATATATATATATATATATATATATATATATATATATATATATATATATATATATATATATATATATATATATATATATGTTTAAGACTTCTAAAACACGTAATAGATGTTAATACAAATTTTTTATGTCTTAAACATATCCTCTGCTTACAAGGTGTGTGTGTGTGTGTATATATATATATATATATATATATATATATATATATATGTGTATATATATATATATATATATATATATATATATATATATATATATATATATATATATATATATATATATATATATATATAGACACATCATAGATTATCCAGGTCATGTTTTAAAAAATCCGGAAATTTGGTTGGGTCGAATATCCTGAAAATCCGGAATAAATTTTCCTTCTAAATTTTCTTTTGGCTGAGTTGTTTCAAACTTTTTTCCAAACTTTTTATAGTTTTTGTATGATTGATTAGTGAAAAAGCTTAAAAAACAAATATATAACAAAAATATATACCTAAACTTGTATGTATAGAAAACATTTTGAATATCCGGAAAAACTAAAAGTTAAGAAAAATATCCGGAATTCCGGAAATATCCGGAAAAAGATAATCCCTGACACATACACACACAAACATATACACATATATATACAGGCCTTGGCGGGAATAATTGAGTACGAGAGCGGAGAAAAGCTCTCCTAAAAAGAACTTGGGGAGCTGTGCGAGCTGCTCCTGATTTAAATCGGCACTCTTTTTTAATTCTAACTTTTATTTGCAACAACCGTGCCTTTTAAAAAAGCATTTCAGTATATTATGCAATTAATTTTTTAAATGACATTGTGTTTTTTATTATATCTAAAATGATAATTATACTTTTATGAGAAAAATAATACTTTTGTGAGAGCCATAAATAACTCTCATAAACCGTTTCAGGGGAGTGTGGGCATAAGCGATAGCTAAAGCTCTTGCTTCCCGCCGAGGCCTATATTGAAATATATATATATATATATATATATATATATATATATATTTTAATATAGCGTAAATAGATAAAACTAGTAAGCAGCAATTGCTTACTGGTTTTGCTTATCTTCATAGCATATGACTTTACAAGAAAAAAGAAAAAAAAAACAAAGAGTAATGAAAGAAAAGATTGCTGGTCCATCCCAAACCTTAAAACAATGTAGCAGCACTACTTCGCGACAACAGACAATAAAATAGCTATTTCAGAATGACATCATATTGCTTATCTAAGCATAAAATATAAAGTTTGTGGGTGTGGGTGAATGTATTCATATATATAATATATATATATATATATATATATATATATATATATATATATATATATATATATATACATACGCATGTACTCTTGCTTGGTTGTTTTTAATTTTATTATTGTCAGGTCACTTTTAGGTATTTTTTTTAATTGTTTGATAGACTGCCTGCCCCAACCAAACCCTCAGTCGATGTAGCAGCACTTCACTGTAGCAGCAGGCTATAGGATAGTTGATGTAGCAACACTTCCTTGTAGCAGCAGGATGTTTTCGAAAACATTTAGAATGTTTTTGAAAACATAGTTATTTAATTTGCGCTTTTGTGGTTTTTTAAAAAAATATTAAACTTAATCAGTTTCCTCGATTAAATTATTATGTTTTGTAGTAATCTAATTTTAATTATGTCAGTTTAAATACCCTAGATAAGCTAACAGCTGTTTTTTATAGTGAAGGAGATAAATATTTAACGCCTTGACATATATATGATATATATATATATATATATATATAGATATATATATATATATATATATATATATATATATATATATATATATATATATATATATATATATATATATATATATATATATATATAGTTAAATAAGATTTACTTTATTTTTTCTTATCAAAGAAAATCTTAAAATTTTTTTCAAAATTTACTAATCAATGATTATAAAAACAATAACAAATCAATTAACTAGATAATGAAAACATTAACAATTTTATTTACATTATTTTTTGAGTTATTTACAAATAAAGTATAATAAATTACATATAAAAATAAGTTAAAAACAAATTAATAAGATACAAAAAATATTAAATATTAAATAAAGTTTGTAATTTAAAACCTAGATATATCCCTGCCAAAAAAAAAAGTCCTAGCCCAGTCAAATGGAACTTGCATTCGATTTCTCCAGCTCCCTAAGCGAGTAAGATAAACCGATCGCCATATTAACCAACTTTTAAATCCAGTTATCTTCCCAGCTTTTGTTGGAAGATCTGCAACAGCTTTATATCCACCAATATATGCAAGCATACCAGCATTGGACCACATAAATGGTTTACTGTCTGTTTTAGAATTTGTTTCTAATAAGGATAAGTACTGTGCAACATATCGACCTGAAATAAAAAAATAATAAGTTTATAGTCCAAGTTTATTCAACTAAATTTTCTTTGACTAAAACTTTTTTAACAAACTTCCAACAAAACTTCCAACAAGCAAGAAACTACTAATTAAGTTAAAAGCTAAAAAAAAAAAATGCAAGAAACAAGAAAGTTTAACAAGAAAACAACTGAAAAACTTAAAAACTGTTAATTTGAATCAGTATAAGTAATATAGAATTATTAAAAGGTTTTTGAACCACACAAACTGTAGACATTGAACTTTACAAAATAAAATAAAATTAATTAAAAAAAAGTACTTAAAGCTATTGTTGTTACTAAACCAGATCTGAGAAAAGTTAAATGAAGTGTTCATTATGCTGTTATATAGGTTCTTTTCTAATATCTAGTTTTCCCTTTAACCTGGTATTTTGCTTTTTGTTAATTCCCAACATAAACAGTAGTTGCTTGCAATCTATGTGGTAGTGGTGTAATGGTAGAGGACTTGTCTCATAAGCGAGAAGTACTGAGACCGATCCACACTACATCCCTGATAGTACTGCGCTCAACTTGATTATCTACATGGCAGCCTTGTTCTTCAAGGTTTGAGTTTTGGAGATATAGAGTTGAGATAAGGTTGTAACCAAAACTTAAGTAGCCTCCTCGACTGTTGTGGCCATCTTGGCCTTACGGAATTAACATAAAAAACCTAGTTGAAAGTAAATGCGCTGAATAATAATTTTTATTGTATTAGTCTGTTGTTTTTGAGAATATATGTATGTGAAACAAAAAGCCAGAAACTCATAAGTAGTTCATTTTATTTAAAATTAACTTCATATAATACATACAATGCATAATATATTGTGAATTAAATAAATTTGTGAAGTGATACTTTTGATAATAAGTAGTAATTACAGTGTTATGGAATCAGGGAACCAGTGAACTAGGTTATTATATATTAGATGATTGTTTTTTTTTTTTCAAATTTCAAATGCATTTTTATGTAAACAAACTAAAGTCATGATGCTTTGTTTAATTTTACCACACAAAGATTTTGCAATGCAATGACTTTTTATTCCTAAAAAATTATGCTACAATTAATGAATAAGGCAATACTAAATAATATCCATAACTTACCATGTATTTTCGTAAATTATTAAAAACAACTGCTATTTAAAATAACAATAATGTATTATTAATATAATATAATGTATATAATATAATATAATGTAATATTAACCTTTTTTTATAAGAAAGCTTAGAATTTTTAAATAGTCCTTACTATATACATTTATATTATAAAAGTAGTTGAAGTATCATTACAGGGCGTTAACTAGAAATCATTTTGACAAAATTGGAAATTTATCAAAAAATTTCCAATATCCCCCTATCCTCCCCTAAAATTAAAATGTGTACCGGAAATGTGTGGGGTCGTTTTCTTTTATTCTTTCTTTTTCTACTCCACTTAAGCATTGCATACATTGATTGGACAGAGCCAAAAATAAAAAATATCGCCTGTAACATTTATTGAAGATGAATATCAAATCAACATAAAATTAAAAGTGGTTTCACAACGACAAGGCAAATTAAGCTTCGATTTCCAAATATATACTCAGAATTATATATTTTTAAATATTAAATAAAATAATCAGTGTGTATTAACTAATTATTATTAAGAATAATATATTTGATTTACTTTTAATCTTAATATATTGTTGCCGCTTTCATGTTAAGAGTATTTTGAATATATATATTTTTTTCACTGGTGGGCATTAAAGAACGATTTTTAAAGTAATATAGTGATTTATGTTTATCTAGTTTTCTTGTTTTTTAGATTTCTTGTACCAGTTTGTTGTAATAATAATAAAAAAAACATTCTTGTTATTAAAGGTATTTAATTTACATTATAATATACGTATTTAATTTATGTTTTAAATATAAGCAACCAGTAAAGTAAAAAAATCTATTTTCCTCATTAAATAAACTTTTAGAACCAGTTTGTTATAATCAAAAAACATTTATTTAACTTATTTAACTTTTCAGCCAAAAAGGGCGAAACTTTTAAAGAAATAGCATTTGTGGGTATTAAACCAAACAAATTTGTAATTTTTTAAACTGTACTTTATTTCTTGCTAACTTTTTTTAATAATATTTGCTGCTGTTGAAACGCATTGCCAAAAATTATTGGCAAATTTTGAGAAATAAATTTTTTTCCAAGCAATTTTAGGAATGTTTGGAAAATCCCAATTCTCAAAAAAAAATTTTCCATGAGACATTTTCGCAGTTATGCAAGCACATAGTTATACCAATAACAGCAGTTTTATTTCAAATTTTAAACAATAAATTATAATTTTTTTTGTTATTTTTCTATTAGTTTTAAACAGCAATTAATTTTCAATAATATTTGGAATTATTATTAAACTTTAATTTGGCAAACTTTATTTTGAGAATGGGATTTTTTCACTTTTAATTTGAGAATTTTAATCTTATGAGCATTTGGGAATACCGCATTTGAAATGGCCCCACAGGGCTAGTTTACACCATGCATTATAAAAAATTATTGATTCTAAAGCTACTATAACTTTTGCATTTGTTTTAAAGAAAAAAATCAATCACCATTTTTTAAGTGTTAATATTTTTATTAGTCATGTAAACTTTAAAAAGTTTATTTAAAAAATGGCAATCTTATACAAAAGAAAAATAAATAGATAAAAAACAATTTAACAAAGTCAATAAAAAAGAAATACGCAAAAGCATTAACATCACCAGATGAAATATGTTTAGTTGAATCAGGGCCGTCCAGAAGAGGTCTTCCATAGGGAAAGGGGTGGGGTGGGGTGTGTGTGTGTGGGGTGTATAAATATTTTTGCCAACAAAAGACACAAAATTAAAAAATAAGAAAAAAAAAAAGAACCTCAATACTTGCAATTTGCCAACTATAAATATAGCCATCTATATTTATATTAAAATTTGCCAACTATAAATTTATATATATATATATCTATATATATATATATATATATATATATATATATATATATATATATATATATATATATATATATATATATATATATATATATATATATATATATATATATTAGTTGGCAAAATACTAACTATATTAATAAATATAGGTTGGCATTTTTATAAATAAAAAAATTTTACCAACTATAGTTTAAAACTTGCTCAATGTGCCAACTCAAATGCTTATATGACAGCTTTGTGAGGGATAGAACGACACCCCCCTCCTTCAGGACGGCCTGAGTTGAATACCCGGCCGAAGATATTTGAAGATTTTTCTGAATCGACCAGTTCTCTGCCTACTACTTAAGACATCTACCAATTTTTTAGGTTCATATTTTTAATTCCTTTAAAGTGGTTTATTATTTGCTTTTTTTTAAAAAAATACTAAAATCTAGATTATTTAACTCTTCACTGACAAGGAAACTCATGAAGAAAATATCTGGTAAAAAGTTTGACTAATTAAGTGGTTTTACAAACTGCCCGGAAGTTAAATTTTATCTATTACACCTATTCAGTCTAATACAGGAGTTTTTGTACCAGAAACTCCTGTATCAAACTTAATCTGTAGCAGGTTTAGATTTAGATCAGTAGGAACTTAAGGAAAATATCATTATCCAAGTTTTTGATACAATGGCTTGTAATACTGAAATGAGAAAAAGAGCGGCAACTCTTCTTGAGGAAACCATGTCTATGAAAACGCTTCTTTTAACCTGCATGCTGTCATCATGTTCCAGAACTGATTAAAACTTTGTTAGAAGCATCAAAAGCTAGCGATGCATTAACTTATAATATAAAGTTATTTACCTAGAAACTCTGAAAGATATACCAAACTTCAGCTGCTGCTAAAAAAGCCCAACAAGATTTAAACAGAGACTTTTGGTATTTAACCTAACAGGTGTCTGTATTAGGATTTTTTCAAATAAACTTTCTCTAATTGATAAAGAAAAATGTTAGATTATAGAAAAAGACTCTTTCATCGAAATGGTATGACAATGCTAACTATTGGAAAATGAAGCTATTTTTTAAACTTTTAAAGGTAACTAACAACTGGCTGAGAGAGGAAACAAGTTGTGTTCCGATGACCTTCAATACTCACAAAGGTATACCAGAAAATTATTTAACAAGTTAGTTAAAAAAATTAAAAAAACAAAACATTTGAAAAAACATTTTTTATATGTAGGATAAAGCTGTAAGAAATGAAATTATTAACATGGTTAAAAATCATAATAAAATTGTTAATATAAATAAAAAGCAGTTATTCGCTGATTTTAGCACAATATTTGGCTTTATAACACTTTTTTCTAGGTTTAAGTATCCTGCATTATCGGATATCTCAATAAAAAAAATGTTACTATCTCAATAAAAAAAATATTTGTAAAAAATACTTTTATAGAAAAAAAACTTTTATTTTTCAATTTTGTTCAAAATTTTAATTTTGATATATTTTAGATTTAAAATGAAAATAATCAAATCCAATTTGACAGCAATAATATTTTTATATAAATTTTTTAAAACAATCTTATGAGTAAAGTACCATGTTTCTTTGCAGATAAGTAAAATTTTTAAAAACTTTTGTTTTTGGCCTACCCTAACATATGTATTAATATATGATAAAATCAGTTCTAGGAACATTGATTTATTGTCACATTTTTCTAAGAATTGTTATTTAGGTTTAACTTCAAATAAACTTTATAATTTTTAACAACAATTTTAACAAGTAAAACAAACAAAACACTTTCAAAAAAAAAAAAAAAGTGTATTATATTATTTAAACTCAAGTCTTAAGCTCATTTTATAAAAACAGTCTTTGCTCTGCTGACCTTTATTTGCATTAACTGCATTTCAAAAATTTAGAAAAAAAAAGCATTGGAAAACACAGAAAAACTCTTTTTTATACGTATATATAATATTACAACGGAAAATGATTTTGCTTATTTATTTCCAACAGTAAAAATTTTGGAAACAAAAAATTATCATAATCCTGATTATCATAATTAATGTTATAAAAATTATCATAATCAACTAAAGTTTTTACATTAGCAATAGATAAAATTTTGATACCCCGACATATTTCTGGCCTCAAAGCAAAAGATATAAATAAAAAAATGTGTTTTTAAATAAAAGAAAAGTTTTACAAATACATTTTTTATATACTATTTCTTAATTACATATATACAATTTATGTAAAAAAAAGAAGAGTTTTTAATTATCTTTATAATTGTAAAAAATTAAATACCAGAAAACATATTTAGAATATTTATTCTCCTAATTAAATAAAAAAAACCAATAATAAACCAATAAAACCTTGTCTTTCAGCCACTTGAGCCGTGCTTGGTAAAGGAGATCCATCTATGTATGAACAATCACCAATTGCAAATATACTGTCATAACCAACTACACGAAGATGATCATCTACCTTGAGTTGTTTTGATTTACCTTTAGGTAGGTCTAAACTTTCTAAATAAAATCAATGTATTACATAATTTAATTTATAAAATAATACATAATTTAATAGATAAAATATATTATTTTTTCAAGAACTTATTTTCAAAAGTAAAACTAACACAAAATTACTAAACAAATTGTAAAATAGTTAATATAAACCTTTAATAGTAAATCAGGTAATATTTTTTAAATCTTTAGAATTACAAATGAATAGCATTAGCCCTAGATTTCATTAGCACAATTTATGAATTGAAAACAGCTTTTGCATTGTAAGAATTGCTATGAATTTTTGCAACATAGTGGGAAAGTATTTTAGTTGAAATTTAATTAGATAAATTTATTTTCTTTTTATTTGTTTTAAAATTATACTGCATTTTTTTAAAAACAATTAAAATGGACAGAAAAATTATAAAATTCTTGAGTTAATTTTTTAATTAGAAATTTATCCTTGGTACTAAAGCCATTATGCTCCTGCTACCAATTATATTGAAAATCTTATTTAAAAGAGTTAAAAAAAATTAAGTTTTTAGAAACAAATAAAAAAATTTTATTTCATTTTTATTTGTTTCTATAAACATTGTAGTACCTATTCACTATTTATTCACTATTATATGTTTAAACATTACCTATTTTACTATTTATATTTAAACATTCTATTACCTATAAACTTTCTGGGACCAAGACCGGTTGACCACACTACAAGCTTAGTTAAAAGAACTTTTCCTGATTTCAACTTCACATAGTTCTCACCAACTTCCACAACAAAATCTTTGATTAAGTGGAAATTTTCTCTTTGTGTAATTTTTCTCTCAGCAAATTTACGTAATCGCTGGTCAAATGAAGGTAATATTGAATCTCCTTCAACTAAAAAAAAATTATTTTTTTTACAAACCACCTAAAAAAATGAAATCAAATTAAAAACTCCCTCCAACTAAAAAAAAAAAAAACTTTTTTAAATCCAATAAAAAAGTAAAAATACATTAAAAATTGCTACGAGATCTACAGTTTCAGACTGTTATTCTGATGTAAACAAAGATGACACTAGCACTGGAAATAATTATTTAAAGGTTGCCAATCAAAACTGATCGGATGAAATGAGAAACATTGAAAAGAAAACTACCAATTTTTTTTACAACCATAACACTTTATTCATTACACTTTTTAAGTTTTCACAATATTTTATAGGCTTATATTGTTATATAGCCTGATTATCCGCAAAAAGACAATGATTTTAAAAAAAAATTAATACTTAAGCATAATCTTTTAATAAAATACAATATAAATTTTTATATTTTCTTTTTAAAACTCTCAATCTTTTCATTTCTCCATACAGCAGTTTTAGCATATTATTTTGAATTGCTTAAAACAAATGACAGTCTTTTAACAACCTGCTAAAAAAAAAAATATATATATAGTTTTACTAACTAACACACCCACTAAGAAATTTTTTTTTTTCTTAGCTGGTGATTTAAATATTGATTACTTTACTTTTTTCCTAATGGCTCTTTTTTTACGAAAGAAAATTGCAATTAAAAAAAGAGCTAATAGATGGAAATATAATTTTGGTTAAAAACTATAATTTGTTTAAAGTGATTCAAAGTAATATGTAAAAATAATAATCGTTCTCAGAAAAAAGTAAAAAGTTTTACTTTTTTCTTTGCTAGTGATACATATACTAATTTCTTATTAAATGATATAATTGTCTGTTGTATTTTGCCTCTATTTTATGATTATAAATTATTTTATACCTTTTTTTAAATCAATTTTAACACTTAAAACAAAAACTATTACAATTAAAACTATTGACTTTTAATAATCTCAAACCTTTGAGATTATTAAACAATTAAAGTTAAAATATGTTAACATTCCTAGTTATTTCAAATAAATTCATTTTATTTATAAAAATTCATTAACATTAAACTATCTACTTTTTTTTTCTGACTTTAAAGTAAAAAAAAGAAGGAAGATCACAACTATGTTTGTGTTAATAAAAAATATTTATCATTATTCATCATTTTGTATTTTTGCTTATTTGATATTTTTATGCTTTTTAAACACTGTTAACTAAAAATTGTTATGTCTATTAAGCACAAGACGTGTTTACCATGTCTAAAAAATGTGTTAATACATTTTAATATATATTTTATACGTGTTAAACATGCTTTGTGCTTATTGGATAGTCTCAAAACTATTTTTATTCCAATAATTAAAAACATTCAACTGCTAATTTAATAATTTCAACTTTCAATTTTTAAAAGTATTTAAATTTTTTATTATTAAGATTGTTTTGTAATTCTTGAATTTGATCAAAATCAAATTTGATCAGCCAAAATAGATACTGGTAGATAAAAACATTTTTTTCATTTTCTACATAATAAAATTGTTGATACTCAGAACTTGCTGGGTGAGAGAAGATGTTTAAGAAACTTCTAACGATAGTAAGAAGAATGATTAGACAATAATTTAAATAATTTTCTAGATTTTTTTATCTCTATTTTCAAAAATTTTGAAGACTAATCTGACTTGTCTACTGTCCCATTAGTCTTCTTTCTATCATAAGCAAGGTTTTTGAGTCTCCAAATGTTTTGATCTCCCAGTATCAATAATACTGGATATCAAAACATTTTTTTCATTAGAAATGATCATTGATCCACTGTTATTTCCAGCGCTGTGACACTAATTTCTATTACTGCACATTTTCATAAAACAAATAGCTGGATAATAAAAAATTTGAAACAGTACCATGAAGCTTGTGGTTTTAAAAGCAAAACCTGAATTGTACAACTGAAGGTGACTCACAAGGTATCGCATTCATTGTTATGCAAAAGTAAATCTGTTTATCAGTACTTCTGAAACTTTATCTGAAGTATTTTTTATCATGTAATATATCATGTGTTGTGACAAGACGTTTGTGATAACAATTTTCTTTAAAAAACTGTATTTAAAAAAAAAAAAAAGTGTCTCGAAAAAATATCAGAGACCGTATTGCATTTTGTCAGAATTTTAAGAAGTGGTCAGGGGAAGATTAGTAGGTTGCAATATTTAAAGAGAAATAATTATTTGAATAATTTGGTTGCACTCTACAAATATTAAACACTCCCCTTGACACTGATACATTCTACAATACTTGCTTTTGACTGTAAACATTACAAAATCATGATATAGGGTGCCATTAATTAAAATAAAATTGGAGATTTGTAGTTTATATCTCCTAACACCACAAAATATAGCCAAATTTACCTTGTTTTTGTAGATCAATAGCCACATATACACTTATTTTTTGTAGATCAATAGATTTAGCTATTGTCTTTCTTACGTTATTATTTTTCAATGCCTTACCATGACTTTAAACTAAGATTAAAATTACAGAAAAAAATTCTTTTAAAAACAAATTGTGCCAACATAATTATGTAAAATTCATATTATTTTCTTTTTTAAGCGAAATTAAAATATTTAAATTTAACTATATAAAGTTTAAAGTGATGATCCATAAATAAATTAATCAATTTTGTTATCTTCTCAAACTCCAAAAACCTTTAAGATATTACTTAATAAGTTAACAGGATTCTTAAATTATTTTGCAAAACAGACTTTTTAGCTTTGGATCAAACATTACAGAATTTCTGACCGCATTTTTTGTTGGTAGAATTTAATTCAATAACGTTACCACAATAGATTTGAAAAACATAACAAATATAACAGGATTTTTTAAAAAATTCAACAGACTGTGCAACTTCTCAAACTTTTTCAATTAAATCATATTATTTCAGACTTTGTAGCACTGTAGGAATTGTTGATATAGGCTTTACAAATACTTGCTTTATGCAAAGATATTTTTTTTAGAAGTAGAAGTCAGCTGGGTTTTAAAAGTTAAGATACATATAAAGAGTCATTGACTTTTCTATTTTTTAAATCACCAAAAATAATTTCCAAAATCCTGCAAGAAAGCTAAAAAACTACAAATTCATGGGTTTTTTAGCTAATCTTCAGCAGTGACAATTTGACAATTTAACCCACAGAATTAGGGTCGGCATTCGGCAATGCCGATCTAAAAGTGTTTGAGGTTGGCAAAAAATTGCCTCATTTTGATAATTTATGGTAAGACCTTTGAATCAAATTTTTTTTGCCAATCTCTAAAAAATTGAGGTCAGCAAATTATTGCTGACCTCAATTTTTCTATTTCCAAGGGTTGTGTGTGTGTGTGTATACACACACACACACACACACACACACACACATATATATCTATATATCTATATATATCTATATATCTATCTATCTATCTATCTATCTATATATCTATATATCTATATATATATATATATATCTATATATATATATATCTATATATCTATATATCTATATATATATATATATATATATATATATATTATATATATATATATATATATATATATATATATATATATATATATATATATATATACACATAAATACACACACACACACACACACACACACACACACACACACACATATATATATATATATATATATGTATATATATATATATATATATATATATATATATATATATATATATATATATATATATATATATATATATATATATATATATATACTCACACACATGTAGATATTTTTTTTTTTTTTAAATTATTCACCTCCCCAAGGCCCGAGGGGGCCACTACAGTCGAGGAGGCTACTCATTTTTTTTTTTTTTTTGTTGTAAATCGTGGTATAACCCTCTTTCAACTCTTAAACTCCGAAACACGAACCTTGACAAGCAAGGCCGCTGCGCGGAGAAATTAAGTTGAGCGCGGTACTTCCAGGGACATGGTGGGAGTCGAATTCCGAACCTCTTGCTTACAAAGCGAGCGCTCTTACCACTACACCACTACCGCATATATTCCTGTATAGTAGATATATTCCTGTATAGTAAATTATAAATAAGAAACTCAGTTTAATTCTTCAAGTGTTTACTGACTCATGAACTTTTATTCATTATAAAGTTCTTAATCTTTCAAAATTAACTAACTAGGGACCGGCGAAGTCAACTTTTTAAGACTGGAATTTATAAGAAAGACAAATTTAATTAATATGCGTATACCAAATTTAACTGAAAGACGAATTTAAGCCATATATGTAGCCCAAATTTAACTGAAAGCTGAATTTAGATTTTAAAAACACATTTAATTAAAAAAAAATTTTTTAAGAACTTTTATAAGTTTTATAAAAAAAAAAATTTTTTTTGTTCAGAGAAGACTTAACTGCCACGAAGTACATCAGAAATGTATTTAACTAGAAAGTTCTTTTTCCTTACCAATGGTGCAAAATATGCCTATAGCTTGCTTTGAACCCTAGGTCTATTGCTTTTAAAGCAAGCGCTCTAACCATTGTGCAGCGGTTCGCTGTATAATCATTGTGCAGCAGTTTAATTTATTAAAAAACAATTTGCTTCAATATAAAAAATCTAAAAATTTGGTAATAATGAAAATTTAAGTTATGGAATCTTTACAACTCTTAATGTGTTCGAAAAAACATTGATGATTTTTTTTTAAACCAAATTCATGTTCCCAAGGTCGAGTGGGCCACTTTAGTTGAGGAATACTTTTTATATTGGTAACAACCCTCTCTTAACTCTGAAAGAAGGTTGTGACCAATAGAAACAGGTTGATATACATAAAACATATAATCGCTTATAATTAATACTTAACTTAACGCTGCCGCTGCTGCTCACCATTCGTGCACCTTTACACGGACTTTTTTACCATACTTGGCCTTTGAGTTTTATTATAAATTGCTTTACTTCTGAACTCGCGTAATGAAGCTCTTTCAAATCTTAATAATCTGTCAGTATCTGCTTAATCAGTAATGAGATCAAAAACTTTGTTTCATCAGCTTAATTAGTGATAAGATCAACAATTTTTATTTGATAACTTCTGCAGTAAAGGATGAACATTATGTTATTATTGAATTAGTAAAGTAACTTTTAAAGTCAGGTGATTTATTTAAATCATGCATTTTAGTCTTTTGTCAATTGTATTTAAATTTATTAATTTATAAAATTAATCTGTAATTTTTAAATTAAAAGACGACTCAAGAAGACGTTGCTCATTTCAAAGGTCAAGAGGTCAAACTCTTGATAAAGTTAGTGTTTAAAACACTTGCATCTCACACGGTCAACTCAATGTTACATGTTAAAGAACAAGATCGTTTAATACCTTATTTAAAAGAAGTTATAAAAATCCGTATAAAAAACCAGATTGTTTGATAGTTTGTTTTTGAAAGTTGTTAAACATTTATTACGAGGTATTTCAAAAAACAAAAATAAGGTTGTATTTGTAAAGTTTCAAATTTATATATTTTTCTTAATTTATATATTTATCTATATACGTGTGTTATTTATATTGTGTTTTATTGTGTATATATGTGTTAAGGTTATATGGGTTTATATTTTGTAAGTGTGTAAATATATGAAATGTTTCAATGTTTGTGGTGTGTTATATGTAATATGTTTATAGTTTGTAAGTGATAATTATGTTGTTTGCATGGTTTCAAATTGTTGTGACTGGGCTTAGTTTACAGCAAGATTGTTGACCTTGCTAGCCAAGTGGTGTACTTTGCTATAATGTGACCTGGCTTTGTTGAGAGCAAAAATATTGTCCTCGCCAGCAGAGTGGTGTATTGTCATAATATAACACATAAATTAATTCTGTTTGTAATTAGTGTATTTCTAAAATGTGTTGAAAAAATGTGTTTTAATGTTGTTATCCTCTGTTCTTAACAATGTATGCTTTTGACAATAAATAAATTTTGTTAAAAAGCAGGCTTTACTAACAGCTCCTCCTCATTAAAATTTTTAAGAGTTTCGATTCTCTTCATTAAATATGTTTAACTCAAATTTTTTTTATATATATAAAAGTAAGTATACAGCGTGTTGAAGCATAAGTTTTAATAACTTTTGTTAAATTTTTAGGATTTTTTGTATAGAGAATGTTTTCTTTATATTATTATTTTAATGTTTTGTATGTACATCGATATATATATATATATATATATATATATATATATATATATATATATATATATATATATATATATATATATATATATATATATATATGTATATATATAGACACACACACACAATAAAATATATAGAATTAAAATGTCTATACATATATTATATGTATAGACATTTTAATTTTTTTGCCTTAAATTATTGTCCCTTTTTCTTTAGAATATTAAATATCTAAAAAAAAATTAAAATAGTAAAAGAAGTTTCAATATTTCCAAGTTTCTTCACTTGAAGCAAATATATGATTGTTTATAGAGGTTCTTTTAGTAGTTTTGTATTTATTTATTGCAAATCTTGCGTTAAATGCCTTTCAAAGTAATGAAAGGGTTTTGTTGATGGATGATTACATTTTATCCTTCCATGCTAGCAGTACTTGCGGAGTTGACAGGCCTTAAATTTTTTTAATTTGCTTTATTTATGAGTTCTTATATGTAAAAAATTTGTTTTTTAAATTACATTTGTTTTTTTTTTTTGTTTTTTTTTTGATTAAATACTTATAATATTTTGTCAATAATTAATAACAACTACCATAAATATATAAACAATACTTAGTTGAAAATATTGTATTAATTTATAACTTTAGTTTAAGTTTTTAATAAAACTATGTTATCTTAACACAATGCTATATATGGTAGAATATAATAGATTATAGTATTATGCTCTGTATTATTTGCTTACACTTTATTTTAGATAAGTTTAAAAAAGAAACTTCAACTTTTATTATATTAGGCATCATTTTTACACACTCCTTTGATGCCTAATTATGTCTAATAATTTAAGAAATGAAATTATTAAACTTCGTCAAAATGAAAGAAGGCAGGCTAGGCGAGCTGAGATAAACCGCCGTCGAAATGAAAGAGATGAGCCCAGGCGAGCTGAGATAAATCGTCGTCGAATTGAAAGAGATGAGCCCCGGCGAGCTGAGATAAATCGTCGTCGAATTGAAAGAGATGAGCCCCGGCGAGCTGAGATAAATCGTCGTCGAATTGAAAGAGATGAGCCCCGGCGAGCTGAGATAAATCGTCGTCGAATTGAAAGAGATGAGCCCCGGCGAGCTGAAATAAATTGTAATCAAAATGAAAGAAATCAGGCTAGGCGAGAACTTAATAGGTATAATATGCATCGCATAGCAAGAAATAATATTGCTATAGAGAGTAACTACCTCGGAGAATTAAACCATAATTGTCAGTATTGCAGTGCAAAGAAGTTTTTAAATGAAACTCATTTTTTGTGCTGCCATTCAGGAAAAGTTGTATTAGCTCCTCTTTCTTTATCTGCCATTGTTGACTGGTTTAATGACAGGAAACCATGTTGATCATGCTGTAAATCAAAATTTTTTTAAACACATAGGGAGTTATAATTCCTCTTTATCTTTTGCTTCCTTCACTGCCGAAATAGCTCCTCCCTCAAATAATGGCCCTTTCTGTTTTAGGGTCTGTGGGAAAATTTTGCATCGTGTTGGAAATTTAAGGCCTGCAGAAGGTTGTCTGCCCAAATATTGTCAGCTGTATATCTATGATCCTAATGCAGCAGTGTCATTCAGAATGGAACAACCTGGTAATGATGGTTGATGGTAATGACATGTTAATTTGTAATTAATGTGTATGATTATGCGTTTAAATAACTTTGTTCCATTTTTAGTTCCGTTTCTTATAGCTGACATGATTATGGCTTACCTAAAACTTAATATTTATGAAACAATGATTCAATTTAAATTGTATTATAAGTAGCTCTGTTGAATAAAATTTTTTTTTTGTAATTTGTACTAAAGGTTATATTTTTATTTTATATCAAGAAAAATATGTTTTTAAGTAAATATCTATATTTTTTTATTTTGGGATTTATTGTTTTAAATGGATATAAAAATCATTTTTGCTTTGTCTTTTATATTTCCTTTTATTATATATGAATAGGATTTTTGGTACACACGACAGGTTTAATAACTTAGGCAGTAAAAACAGCTTGAATGATTTGTTAAGAGTCTTTAAAGAAACGCTTTTACGAAAAGCATTAAATAGATAAAGCTAACTTATTTAAAATAATAAGTCTTTAACCCGTTTTTCTATATCCAAAATTACTTTTTAAATAAATGTTGATGAAGGGGTAAAATATCGTTATAGCCTACGTTAATTTTAAATTCTTTTTAAATTAAAGGAAAGAGTTTTGATACTTATTTAAATAGGGTTAATAAAATATTTTAAATTATATTATATATATTATATTTATGAAATTATTAAACTAAATTAAATAAGATTTTTAGATGAAAAAGTAAAAATAATTGTTTAAAATACGTGCGTGCAAATAATTCCTACAAATACTAAACGTAAAATAACGCTTACAAACACCAAAAGTATGTTTGCAGTGAATAAAGTTAAGTTCAAAGATAAATAGGAAGAAATGTTTAAAACTGTTTCAATAATAACATTTATTTTTAATTACTTTTGTTGTAAGTTGGGATGAAAAAAAAAGGTCACTGGAGTATGAACTCCCGGGGTGAGATGACTATATCTGTCTAAGTGTTGCGCGTCTACCAATTAGCCCATAAACGTATTTTCTATTTAGAATTTAAGATTATTTATGACGCATAAGAAGTGTAATTAAAAATTCAAAACCAAGTTTGCAACAACTGAATTTAAATAAAATCTAATTAGATGTGTATATGTTATGAACGTTAACTAAGGCGTACTTTAACGGCGTCACGTGTTGAATGTTTTAGCATTTTTCTAAGTTCGTAGTCTTTTTTACGTTTTTTCTTATTAAAATTTTTATAATCGGCATAATATTAAAATCGTTTGAAGTTTTTAAAAAAACATTTTAACAGAAATGTTTTTGTCATATCAAAAAGTAAGTATAAATTTTTATATGTACATTTTTAAACGGTTTTAAAAAAATATTGAGGTAAGGAATAAGTATAGAAAAGGTCGGTGTGGAATAGATTTACTAAGACCCTTAGTTTACGTCCGGATAGCTATAGATAAGTATAAAAATGGTCGGTTCGGTAAAGACCCGTATTTTACGGGTCCCCCCAGCTAGTATCTTTTATAATTCTTCTTTTTAAGGTGAAAAAAACTTTATAGCTTTTGAATTTAACTGAAAGCTAAATGAAATTTTTATTGAATTTAACTGAAAGCCAAATTTCTATTTCAAGCCGAAGTTAACTTCGCCTTTCAGTAAACTTCGTAATCCGAATTTTAACGAATATTTGCCAGTCCTTATAACTAATAGGTTAAACATAAAAGTTTAAGAACTTTCAAGATATACCTATTTATAACTTATAATTATATGTATTATTACCTTTTTATTTATGTAGGAAAAAAAATTACCTAATGTTACATGAACATCATTCTTCTCTCCTGGAAAAAGTCTTGCAACATCATGTGTTATAAAGTCATACAACTCAGCTCCAAATTCAATACCAGTTGGACCACCACCAACAATGACAAAATGCAACAGTGATAACCTTTCCTCTTCATTTACATATGGAAACAAACTTTGCTCAAAATTAGATATGATTTGATTACGTATTTTTCTAGCATCTGCTATTTCTTTCAAAAAATATGCATACTTTGGGACACCAGGAATTCCAAAAGTATTACTAACAGCTCCAACACCAATTACAACTTTATCGTATGATAAAGTATATTCTTTATCAGATGAGACTGCTTTACAAACAACTAATTTATCATGTGGATTTAAGTGAATTGCTTCAGCCAATTGAAAATGATGATCATCCCGAAACTTAGTGTTTCGAATCGGTTCAATTATGCTTCGAAATTCTAAAGTCCCAACAGTTGTGCTATTTAACAAGGGTGTAAAAAGAAAATGATTTCGTGGACTAACAACAATCACATCATAAAGCTTCTTGTTAATATTTTTTAACACACTATAACATCCCCATCCTGTTCCTAATAAAACAAGTCTTTTCCGATACAGAACAGATGATAAAGAGAATGGCATTTTGCGCTTATAACTAGCTGCTGGTATAAATTCTAAAACTATCCCTATAATCATTTTTGTAAATTAAATAACTGATATCAAAAATAACGTATGAAATACAATTATACAACTATTAAGTCAATTTAATTAATCAATTCAACTATTTCTAAAAAATATCTATATTAAAGGTTAACATTTCAAGTATGATAGTATACAATTAATAGATTATCTTTTTTTTTTAACATATTGTTCAAACCAGAAATGCTGAATCACAAAAACAACTCCATTGTTTAAAGTCAATTATTTAATTTTGGAGTTTTGTTTAAAGTCAATTATTTAATTTTGGAGTTTTGGAGCTCCAAAAAAGTTATATATATGTCACAAAACAAAACTTTTTTTGTGGCTTGGTCAAGTTCCTTTATGCCACTTTCCTATTTAAAAAAATGTTATGGAAGAGTTTAAACATGTTTTTTACCACTGAATATACTTCTTGGTGTTTATCAGTTTTGCAGATAGTAATTATTTGATTGTGATATTGCCACTAGAAAGTTCATTTACATTTACAAGCTTTTACAAGGCTTATCTGCTATAATATAGGATCCATTGAACATCGTGAACAGGACTGATTCTTTTTGTACCTGACCCCTACTTCATTGTTGAAACTATCAAATTCAACATAAGCACTTAAGTATTATTAAAATTAGTAACTCTATATTCAAAAAGGATAAATTGCTGGTTTTTAAAAATCATATTTTTATCAATATAAAGCTCAGAAGTTTCTCAACATTTGGAGCTTCAGAACTCAGAGTTAAGGTAAAAATAGGGAATCTTTGACTTAATCCTGGAGTCTGGAGTTTTTCTTTCTAAAAATCCTGTTAAACCTGGTTTAAATGTAAATTTTTATCAAAATATAAAAAAAATGAAAATTTACAAGTTATGAATATAAATAACTTCTCAACAACTAAGTCTAGAATAAAGTTATTATTCCCATAACTGAAATATATCAGTATCAACATATTGTACCAACTTTACTGTACAGAAATATAAGTGTATACATACATACATACATACATACATACATACATACATACATACATACATACATACATACATACATACATACATACATACATACATACATATATATATATATATACATACATACATACATACATACATACATACATATATATATATATATATATATATATATATATATATATATATATATATATATATATATATATATATATATATATATATATATATATATATTTATATATATATATATATATATATATATATACATATATATATATATATATATATACATACACACATACACACACACAACATAACAAATGTTACATAAAATTTATAATATATTTGAAGTTTAAAAAGATAATTCTTACATTTTTTATCTCTTTTTTATACAATAATCTAATTTAGTGATAATTTCCATAAAATTACTTAATACATAAAATTACCATAAAATTTTAAAAGATTGAAAAAAAAAAATTTTAAGTTTATTAATAACTCAACTTTGTTATTTCATTAAAAACATATTTCAGTTTTTTTATTATTAATTTTTTTTTATATGTAATGTGTTTAAATTTAGTTTTTTTTTCAAGTTATAGTTTTCTAGTATAGATAAAATTAAAAAAAAAGTTCACTTTCAAAAATAATGAGTTAAAAAAGGATTTTATATGGACTGTCTTACACCCAGTCAACTTGCTACAAAACTAAATTGAAACTAAAATTTCACAACATAATTATTTTTTTCAATTTTGTGATCATTTTTATGATCAAATTGTGCACATGGCTGTACAGGTAACAAGACATAAAAAAATTAATAGTTTTTTGAAAAGGGAAAGATTTTTAAATGTTTAAAATTTGAAAATTAAATGAATCTAAACAAAAAATATAAATAACAATTTATTTGGCAATTTTATATAATATATTCTTTAAAATATCAAAGAATAAAAATGAGATAACAAAAAATTATAAATAAAATCTTGATAATTTTTACATCAACAAATCTGGTAAAGTCAATCTATTTTATTGTTCAATATAACCACATGACAAACATTGCATATTCAAATCTAACTTTTAATGTAACCACATTGCACATGTTTCAAACTGATGATTTTTATTTTCAGATACAGCTTGAATATATCCGCATATGTCCAGATAACCAATTAACTCATTCATAGCATCAACACAGCATTAATGACATTAAACTCATTCAGTCATTATTTCATCTTCAATAGAATATAACTCCATTCTAAAAAAAATGTGTTTTATAATATGTATGCTATAAAGTTTTTTTAAAAACTTTATTGTTAGGAAGATTCAAGATTTGTGGTTAACTCTTTGATTATTTGGTTATTTACTGAGCCATTTTTATTGATTTTTTATGTTAATTTTTTGTCCGTTAATATTTCTCTGTAAAGTCTTCTATTTTTTAATATTTATTTCAGAGTTTTACAGTAAAATAATCTTATAAAAATGTAATAATTATTTTACAAAACATGTCAAGAATAATAAATATTGTGTTAAAAGTAAAATTAAAGTGTTACTGAAAAAGATTTTAATAGCAAGTTATTGAACTGCTGGTGTTTTTTTAAGCTAAGGTTAGTCTTTTATAACACTAAAACATAATTTGTACAACATAATGAAAAGCAGTGATAAACAAATTCAACCTAACCTAGAAATAGCAAGCAATTTGTAATTACTGATTGTTTGAATTTGTTTTCTTATTTTGATTTATTAAACAGTTTATCATCAGTATTAAAGTATAATATATATTAAATGCATTAATAATAAACATAAAACTATTTATATAAAAATTTACAAAAAGAATGGCTTTAGAGATTTTATTCCTGAAAAAAATAATGGAAAGATTCATGAGGAATATTTTCATTCCTGATGAAATATAAATTATAATACCAGTTTTATAAGATGTAGTCAGAGTGATATACTGTCGCTATTTGGAGACAGCCAAGATTTTGATGAAGAAAAGGAGACCCAGACTTGTTAAAGACTGGGTAATGCTTTTTTTTCTGAACTTTAAAAAGTAACAAAAAAGATACAAAGAGTATACATGGAAATGTCATAAGGTAAAGCAGAGAGGAACACAATACAAGATTATCTAGAGTGAAATACGAAGCAGCAAAGTTAAGATCTTAAAACGACCAAGGCTGGTATTTGTCCTTGGCCGGGTTTATTGCTGGAGCTGTTTAAATATTGGTGTAAATTATTATGATATATAAAAATAATTCATAATGCACCAATATTATGCAGTCCTGCCCATAGAACCAGCCTTGGCCATAGTCAAATACCAGTCCCGGTCGTTTACTACAATTTAAATCTTCTTATATTTATAAATGATAGTGTACTCTATAAGTCATCTACCCTTGGTCTTCTTGGATTAACTCTTACTTCTAATCGTTTTTGGAAATCATGTTGAATTCATTGCAAAACTAGCATCTGCTAAGGTTAAACCTCTTTATCGTGCTTGTTACTTAGTCTTATTCTGGATTTAATTCTGTATTTTTAAATCTCAAATCCGTCCATGTATGGAATACTGTTGCCATATCTGGGGTGGATCTTCCAATGATGCCCTTTCTTTTTTTAGACAAGGTGCAAAAACGCATTGTAAACATAGTTGGACCTGCTCTTGCAGTAGAAAATGACCGGGGTTGATATTCGACCAGGGTCGGGTTTGATATAATACAGCCGGGGCCAGGTTTGTAACCAGGGCTGCATAAACATTTATACATCCTAAAGTACATTTTTTTTTCTTTAAAATTTATGCTTGATTTGGTATATATGTGTATATAAACATCATCATCATCATCATCATCATCATCATCATCATCATCATCATCATCATCATCATCATCATCATCATCATCATCATCATCATCATCATCATCATCATCATCATCATCATCATCATCATCATCATCATTATTATTATTATTATTATTATTATTATTATTATTATCATCATCATCATCGCCATCATCATTATCATGATCATCGTCATCATAATTGTCATCATCATTATTATTTATTATCATCATCATCGCCATCATCATTATCATTATTATTGTCATCATAATCGTTGTCATCATCATTTGCTAATAATGATGATGACATCATCAGCTTTAGATCCTCTTATATGTTGCTTCTCTAATCACGATTAATGCTCAAACGAGCTATCTCTATTACAATAAACCAAAACTCATTCTTGCTTGGCTTCTTATTCAATAAGTTGCATCCTTTTAATGTATCTGTCCCTATTTAATAAATACTAGCATAAATATATGCCAGAATTTAATAAATAATAAATGTAATTATAAAATTATAATATATAAAGAATTATAAATTTATTTCTAGCCCTGGCTATCAACCCCTGCAAAATCTTATAATTTTGCTGGGGCCGGATTTGCCAAAAGTCTCATTTTTAGTCAGGGCCGGGGCCCAGGACACTTACTATCTTGCAGCCATCCTTCAACTATTGTCACATTGTCGTAATGTCGCTTCTCTTTCTCTTTTCTATAAATATTAAAAGGGTGCAGGTATAAAGACCTAGCCTCTCTTGTGCCATCTACTAAAATTCATTCTTGTGTTACTTGTTATTCAATTAAGTCTTATCCTTTTACTGTGACTGTTCCTAAGTACTCCAAAGATTCCTATTCATCTGGTTTTTTTCCTCAAACATTAATTCTTTGGAATTTGCTCCCTAAATCTTGCTTTCCTGATTAATAAAATTTGCAATTTTTCTAGTCGTCTGTTAATCGTTATTTTGCTTTATAAATTTTATCTTTTCTCTTCCAGTAACTTTCGACTCTAATAGTGGTTGCTTGCAGCCTTGTTGGAAGTGAAGATGTTATAAAAAAAAAAGTATTTATTGTTTTTAAAGGCTGAATATGGCAACATACAAAAACTTAGCATAAATAAATATTTATAAAATTAGATTACAAACTTTGTCTCTAAATATCATATTTCAATTTTTTTTTCGGATTCTGATTTACTTCCAACAAGGGTGCAAACAACCACTATCAAGTTGGGAGTTACTAGAAAATAACAAAGAGAGTTAAAAAGCAAGGAAGGTTGTATGAGTCAGAAAAACATGAAGATGGAATCGAGTTCCAAAGTGTTGAAATGCAAGTAAAAAAACTAGACGAATAAAAGGTTTCATTGCATGCAAAGACAGATTCAGTAAATGGACATGACTGTTGAATGACAAGTCAAATGAGAATAAGTTTTAGTTGATGGAACTAGAGATGATATACTATAAGGTTTTGGTTGATTTTGAAGATGATAGCTCCTTTGAGAAGTAACCATGATAGTATTTGTAAAAAAGATAAAGAAATGCAACTTTATGACGATGGGAAAGAGGCTCAAGTTTTGAAAATGAAGCATATTAACAACATATAACAATAGAATATAAAATATTTATTGCTAACTATATTTATATAATTTTTGATTTCAGCAATAATTTGTCAAAATTGCTTGCTAAACTTTGTTTAAACTTTCTAATATTTTTATTTTATTTTAGTTTAGAATTAATAATAGCCTAATGTTCTTTACTTAATTAAAATATATTCTGTAAAATATCTTGTGTTTAATTAAAATGAACTCTTTAAAAGATTTTTTATTTAATCAGAACTTATTATTATTTAAATTACTTTAAATGATTTTAGAAATTTTGCATATTGAGGATAACTTTATCATAATCATTTCAAACCAAATAGATTTACCAACAAAATAAAAATTTAAATACTTAACTAAAATGATACTTTCTTCTATTTGAAAATTAAAAATAAAATAAAATTAACTTAAAAAAAAAAGATAAACAAAGTATGTTTTTTAATTTATATCAGCAGCTCTAAGGGTGAACCCTTGCTTATGTAAACTAAAAAATTAAAATGTATTTTTTAACTTGACAAAACTCCACACATGAAACTTGCAAACCTATTTTTAGTTATACAAAATTTTGTAACTTTTTTATGAATTGTAAATATAAAAGAACAGCATTTTTTTTATAAGATGATCATAACTATTAATATAGACTAAAAAATTACCCTTCCACTTTTGGAACAAAGTTTTCTACAGATTCACAATTAATTGCTCTACTCTAAATTATTTTAAAAAAAAAAAAACAGTTTTTACAAACTGCACAGTTTTATTTCACATAAAATAAAATTTTAAAATAATGATATTAATGAAACATAAATTACCTTATCTTCATTATTTTTTTTTACATCATCTTTTTTTTCATGAATCTGCTCAAATGATTTTAACAATGTGTTTTTTATTGGCTCATACAAGACAAGTGCAAGGGCAGATTGATTTCTTAAAAAAACAAGTTTTAGAGTATTTTTAATGGTAACTTTGGAGGGAAAAAAAAAAATACTTTTAAAAATTAAGTCACCTCCCAAAAACTCTAGAGGGGTACATTACACTTATACACACCTTTTTTTTTTTACACAAACTATTAAAGAGGTTATTCTTGAAAAACAATTTGGGCAGCATTACTACTCTGTCACAATTTTGCCACCTCCCCATAAAATTTAAGACATAGGGGAGAGGGACGGGAGGCAAAGCCATAGAAATTTTGTGTGAGCAAAAATTAAATAACTTATTGCTTTAGAATGCGAAAAAAACAACAACTTGTTTACTTCTTTTTAAGCTTTAAAAGTATTGTGAAAAAAAAAGAAGATATATTGTGAAAAAAAAGATGTTGATTATGAAAAAAGGAGATACATTTTAAATTTTAGTTGTGTTTAAAGGGTTTAAAGTTGAAAATTAAAGAAAAATTATAGCTCAATTTCTAATAAAACTATTTGTTCAACCTTAGCCGTTTAAACTTAAAAAAAGCAAGAAAAACTTTATCAGCAGCAAATTAAAATTTAACAGTTGATATTTTATATTAAGATTAAGATTAATAAAAAAAAATTAATTTTTAAAACTGTTTTTTGAAACTATGGTCATATATGCCTTATAAATTATAACTACTAAGTTATAAATTTTATATTTTTTTTTTATCATTTTTGATTTTGATTTAATTAAATAAGTATAATAACAAAGTTTAATTTTATCATTTGTTTTAAGTATGAAATTCATTATAAGTTTAGAAACATCCTTTTATCAATTCAACATCAATTCAACAGAGACTTATATGGACTTATCATTTCAACATCAATTCATAATGAACTTACATGGATTTATCAATTCAACAGAGACTTACATGGAATTAACAATCTTCTTTGGTAAAATGCTGTTATCAATTCGAGCAAATTCCTTTTTCAGATCATCATGAACATAAAACTGAGGAAACTGTGGAGATCTTTTTTTGTTAAAAAAAAAAATCAAAAAATTTTGAGAATTTAAACCCAATCAATAAATCAATTTTATATAATATTAAAAAAATCAATCAAATTTAAGATATATTTCTTAAAGGATAAAAACATCAAAGAAAAAAATAATTAAAAAACAGATGGATAGTAGCCTTATTTGTATGGTAGATAACAATTTTAGATAGTCTAACTAAATTATTGACATAAAAACAAGTGTTAGTTATTATTAATCATGCAAAATCAAAGTTAAAATTTAACATTAATGTAGCAAACACAAATAATAAAACTAATTCTTAATAAAAGATTTCAGATCCTAGCAACAACAACAACAACAAAAATATATAAATAAGTTCATCCTAACAACATTTAACATAATATATAAAATAAACATTTTACTTGCTTTCAGCTGATGTGTCCAATACAATATCTTCATTTTCGCTGTCTGTTTCAAATGCATCAAGTTCTTCGAATCCTTCATCATGTCCTTTAGAAAGACTGCAGAAAAAAATTATCTAGTTAAGATAATAAAAATTATTAAAAATATGATCTAAATGAAAACCTGTTTGATTTAGGAGAAGGAATAGGTTTATCAGTTGAATCTTGTCCCAGACTCATTCTCTGCATAGAATTTGCAATACGTGCCTCAGTGATGAGTTGTTTAGTGACAGGATGGAAACTAACAGAATAAAAATGTTTAAAAAATAATTATTAATTTTGTGTTTACTTTATTTTAAATATTGAAAACATAACTTGAATTTGAAAAAATAAATTGAATGTTAAACTAATAAATATTACCGCAAAATTGTTAACAAAAAAAGATTATTGTTATCTGAATATGATTTTTGTATTTTTTAAACAAAATTTTAATTTAGATTTAAGAATATATCTATAATCACATAGATATATTAGAAAAAAATCTATGTTACCTATAATCACATAGATATATTAGAAATACATCTATAATGTTACGTATAATCACATAGATATATTAGAAATACATCTTTAATGTTACACATACTTCAGACACTTTCCCTTTAAATTAAGATTACAGTGTTTAAACTTTGGAACTTTAAAAATATTTGTGTATATTCTAGTAGAACTCGACAAGCTGAATAAAAATTTTATCAACTTTTTAAAAAAAAGTTTTTTATTTACTAAATTAGTTATAAAAACACTATAAGAAAACTCAAAATGACATACAGTGCATGTTAATTCCGATTCCATTATATATATATAGAAAAAATAAAAGGTGTGAAAAAAAATATTTTTTTTAATAGCAAAAAAATAAATACATACACGCACAGGCATTTAATTATCAGATTTTATTTTTTGTTAAATTTTTAGTTAAAACTCTTCTTTTACTAACCGTACCAGGATGCTTCCCATTTAAATGGTCATTTAAAGTGGATTTTGGTATGCCATATTTTTGAGCTGCTCGTCTTTGGTTTAATGTTTCTTTATTCAATTATGCTAAAGCTGTCTCTAATTTGTCATATTTTTAATTTGTAAATTAAGCTTTAACACATCTTATAACTCTAATATCACTATGTCCTCTATTATATATATATATATATATATATATATATATATATATATATATATATATATATATATATATATATATATATATATATATATATATATATATATATAATTAGAATTTACAAAAAAAAAATTTCAAGTTTTAACTCAAGGGTTAAGGTTAGAAAATTTTTTTTTTTACTGCGGCCACTCGTGTTGCTTGTAGTTACTGCAGCCGCTTGTGGTTGCTCATAGATATTGTAACCACTTGTGGCTTCTCGTAACCACTGCAGTCACTCATGGTTGCTCGTGGCCACTGTATCTACTTGTGGTCACTTATTTTTTAGTTCAAAAATTTACATTACAATTATGTTTAAATGCATATTACTTCAAAAATGATAGCATATAATTTTTTCTTCAGATTATGAAAGATTTTTGTCTTCTTAATATTCAAAGGAAAAAAATCAATTAAAGGTCTTTGTTACGCTTAACCATTTAATTGTAACTTTTATTTATTTTACAAATTAAACAGATATTTTATTGATGTAGAAATAAAAATCATCAGCTGAGTATAAGGTGGTTATGTAAAAGTTGAATTTTTAAAATGTTTATAAATAAAACTTAATCTATTTAATTTCATTTATATAAAAAATCTATAATAAACTTTATTTTGAAAAGAATTTAATAACACACTGATAAAATACTTATTTAAAAAAAAAAAAAAAATCAACTTGGATATACCTCTCATTTGAACCTTTTCTTTTGCCATGACTTGTTTGAATTACACTAAAAAGAAATCAATTTTATTTATTTTTAAATCGACAAAAATTAAAAAAAAAAAAATTCAAATAAAAAGTAGTTATCACAATCAAGGGAAAAATAAGAAAAAAATTTAGTAAATTTTATGGTAATTTTTTTTTCATTAATTTTCAATAGGTTTAAGAATACATTCAAACGTAACAAGTTAAAAAAAAAACTTAAGCTACAGAAAATAAAATATTTGACTTATTTTTCTGTTAAATTAAAAAAAAAAAAAACATTTCCCTTGATTAAAATGATAATAAAATACTTAATTAGTTTCCATCAGACATTTATTTTATATTAATACCAGTGTAATAAATATATTTTTAAAGACAATGAAAACATAAATATAATGAACACATTTTGAAACTTCGCAGTAAAATTAGTAAAAATTATTTAAAAAAAAAAACTAATCAAACCAAAACTTTTTAATCTGAACTTTTTGAATTTAGAAACTTAACTTCTTTTCACTACAAGTGGTATTAGTTATATATTTTTTTTCCTAGGCTTTATTTTTTCAGCAGGGTTTTAGAATTTATTGCTTGCAAGCCTTACCAGGAAGCACATGCGTTTGCACACCTTGTTCCTTCACATTAAAAGTAACTTTTTGAGACAAACTGACCACAGCAGTTTGCATCTTTTAACTTAAAAATTGTTTCAATAATTCGCGGCAAAAAGCTAAACTTATTGACTAAGAAAAAAAAAAAAGTCCTTCAAAAAAGAAAACAAAATTGTAACAAATTATCAAGTTTAATTAAATAAACTAGAAAATTTAATAATTAAAAAAAGTAAATAATTTTTTTTTTTTTTAATAAAATTTTATACAACTTTTGTATTCTTTTTTCTTAGAGTCGTTGTTGAAAAAAACATCTTTAATAACTATTTAACAACAATTGAAAGTTTTGATATGCAATTTATTCACAATTTTTATCAGTCCATATAATTAAGAAACTGATTGGCTATGTACGCTATGTACAACTATGAGAAATTTTGTTAATTTTTTTCTTACGTTTATTCGTTTTGTACGTCTTTTCGCTTTTAAAAATGTTTTTGCTTTATTTGACATTTTTTTCTCAATACTTATATAATAGAAAAATAAGAAAATAAATTACTTTTTTGTAAAATTTAATTTATTTTTTAAACATTAGCCTGAGTGAATAAAAATGAGCAAATGCTTTTACTCAGAGTTTTTGGAGTTATTGCTCAAATTATGTGAATAAAAATTTTGAGAATATGAATAAAAATTTACTTATTAGTAAAAGCAAAACTTTATTCATGTATTTTTTAGCAATTGCTTTTGCTTTTTAGCTTTTACTTTTACTCAAAGCAAATGCTTGTGAGCATTTGCTTTGAGCTAGAGTCTTACTCTGAAAATTTCAACGATTGGAATCGGAGTCGGTATTTTTTTAGGACTCCACACCCATGTTTCCAACGTTAATATGAATTACTAGAGATAATAAACATAAAAATTGCTTTGTTTAAAAAAATGTTTTTAAAAACTTAAAAAAAAGTTGCAAATAGGGGCCTAAACATTTTGTTAAAAAAGATCAGTAAAGTAACAATGCGCTAGCCCACAACCTTTAAGAGCATTAACGATAGTTCATCAGGAAATAAACTATCATTTAAATGCGCAATTTGGATAATCCTACAAAAGTGCAGACTATTTCAATGGGGGTATTGAAAACAATCAAATATTTTATATTTAAATATTAGTGTTAATGATTTTTTATTTTTTTACATGAAAAACTTAAAAACATTTTAATTTTCTTATTTTGTCAATGCACAGGAAAGCGAGAAAACTAATTGCAACTAATTTGTTTAAAAAAAAATTTTTTTTTTTTTTTTACAAATAAATAGCAATTAGTTTTCTTGCTTTCCTGTGCATTGATAAAAACAGTAAAGTTTAACAAAAACATTTGAAAAACAAATTTAAAAATTGTCTGTGTTTCTAGCTCAAATTATAAAGTATTTTCTTAATATACTGACTGAAAAAAGGTGTAAAAAAATTGTATATTAAATTTTTTTTTTTTTTTTTGTTGTATTTATTTCTTTTTTTTTTCTCGATTTGTATCAATTTTAGTAGTGGAAAATAACAAATGCCCTAAAAAAAAGAAAACAAAAATAATAAATATTTAGTTATATTAATTTTTTTACAACAATTTTCTTTTTTTAATATTCCATTTTTCTTATAGCTTTGTTTTGCTGCAAATTCTTAAAACGCTTACTATATAAAAACATGGTCAAGTTGTCTAAAAAAATTACTTGAACGAACAAGGGGTGCGACCACACATGCTTCCCAGGAAGGCTTGTTTTGTGTTTAGTTTTACATTAATTAGTTTCTCTTTCAGCTAACTTAAGCTTGCTTAGTTCTTCACTTCTTTTGAGATTATCAAATCGACTTCATACTTTTTGAATGTAAACTATAGCATATTGCTAAAGCTTTTTTGAAATGACTTCTCATCATTTTTAAAGCATTGAAATTGAAGTACAATTTATAAGTGTTTTTTTTTTTAATGTTTTTTCAAATGTTTTTTCAAATGTTTTTTTCAAATTTATAAATGTTTTTTTCAAATTTAAAGAAAAAAAAAATTTATATTATACTTTTTTGACTCCAATAAAGTGGCAAAAAAACAACAACATAAGAGATAATAAACGTAAATTTAAATATAAAAAGTAACAAAACATCACATGTCATGATGAGTCATTTCATGCTAAATGGACCAAAACTGAAGGACTTCAATGTGGACTATCTCAGATTTAGATGAAATTTGGTGGATTCGTTTTTATCAATAAGATAAATAGTGTTATGACTTTTAAAGAATTCGGCTGTCGATTAAATCAACTAATATATTATCTAAAGTTGCCTAAAATTGAGTAATGCATTTTTGAATTCGAGTTGACTAAAAGTCAGTTTAGTCGAAATAAGGAAATAAATTCCCAAGCCCCAATATTTTCTTCAGTCTTAGAGACTTGCTAAACTTAAAAGTCTATGCAATCGTATTTACATTCTGATTTTATAGGCGACATTTAGATTTTTGGAGCTTCACTATGTAATTTTGCCTCAATTTTTGCACTTTCTATAGTGCTGATGGATGTGTATGTTAAAGATCCCAGAAAAAAAATGTTTTTTCTGGGATCCAAGACACACCTTGATGTCTTGGACCCCAGAAAAAACATTTTTTTTTCGATTCAAGGAAAGTAAAGAAATATTGTCATCAAAAACTGTTTTGGTTTATACTTATTCCATTTGGTTTTAGATCATTTTATATTCAATGATCTTTTTTAAAATATTTTAACAAAGTTAATAGGAAATTTGATTAACAAGTATACTGATTAAAAACAGTCCTCTAAAATAATAATAAATAAAAATAAATAAACAGTATATAAAATAATAATTTTAACAGAATTTTAAATTGTGTTATTTTAAAGTTTTTGAATCGATAAAAGTTAATATCTTTTAATGCTAAAATGTTAACAGCGAGTTGTTTAATTAACTAAAATCCATCAGTAAAAAAAAAAAAAAAAACATCCTGTCATAACATAAAACTAAAAAAAAAAAAGAAAATTATCACCGTTTAAAATTATTATTTTAACTGATATTTGCTAATTCTAAAATATTAATATTAAGTTGTTTTATTAAAGAAGAACAGAAACAAAAAATGTCATTACACAAGTATAGAAGAAATTACATATTAAATTCATTATTAACATTTTTAACATTACAAAATTAATTATAATTAAACAACCATGTCAGAGAGACATAAAAATATCTTTTACATTCAAAATAAGACTTTTTTTTTCAACATCTTCACTTCCTAGAAGACTGCAAGCAACCACTATTAGAGATGGAAGTTACTGGAAGAGAAAATATAAAGTTTATAAAGCAAGATAACAATTAAGAGACAACTTGAAAGATTGCAAATTACATAAATCAGGAAACAAGATGAAGGGAGTGAACCCCAAAGAAAAGATGTTGAAGGAAAAAAAAATACAAATAAGAATTTTTGGAGCACTTAGGAACAATCACAGTAAAAAGATGAGACTTGATTAAATGACGAGTCACACAAGAATTAATTTTAGTAGATGGCACAAGAGATACTAGCTCTTTAGAGCAGCACCAATTTTAGTATTTTTAGAAAAGAGAAAAAGAAGCAACATTACGACAAAGTAACAATGGTTAAAGGTTGGCTGCAAGAGCCAGTCCAAATATGTTTACAATGCATTTTTGTACTAAAAGAGAAAAAACATCATTGGAAGATCCGCTCCAGGTATGGCAACAATATTCTATACAAGGATGGATTTAAGATTTATAGAGATAAAGAATAAATCCAAAGTACGTGGCAAGCATCATAATGAGATGCAACCTTAGCATATGCTAGTTTTGAAATGGATTTGATACATGGTTTTCAAGAAAGATCGGAAGTAAGAGTTAATCCTAGAAGACAAAGGGTAGATGACTCATCAAGTAAATTACCATTCATAAATATAGGAAGATCTAGATTATAGTGATAACGATTAGCATAAAAAATTGAGTTTTATCTAAGTTAAAGGTCACCACCAACTGCAAGCCCCATGCTCTAGCAGAAGTGATTTTCTTTTCGAGCTCAAATGCCCTCTCCAGGCAATCAGAGAGTGTTGGCTTCTTATCGACACAAGTTGATAAGAAGCCAACACTCTCTGATTGATGTCATGGAGAGGGCATTTGAGATTTTTAGTTTGCTGATGGTACTAACACTAAATGTTAGTACTATCAGCAAACAACGCCACCTAAGATTTTCTGGGAAATTGTTAAAGTAAATTTTAAAAAGTATAGGGCCAACGATAGAACTTTGAAAAACCCCTGAATTTTGAAAAAGAGTGCTGTCCATCAAAGACTACTTCTATACTACGATTGGTAAGAAAGACTTCAATAGTCTTAAAAATATTACTCATAGTAAGTAGAGAGCATATGGAGAAGTTGAGCATTTAAAACTTTATCAAAGGTT